ATCATCATGCCATATGTCTCTGATAGAATCTTGTTGTACATGCTGATCTTTATTATGATTCAAGTTGCAGATTGCAAGTTCTTTTTCTATATCAATAACTTGAGAATTATCATAAGTTATAGATGTTTGTTTTTTTAAGTAGAATAGATTTTATTTGTGCAACAGCATCATGTGGTGAAAATGTGGAAACAAGAACTAATAATGATACATCAGTTTTAAAGTTTTTATATTTCGATTCCAAATGATAACCACCTATCATAAACAAGAAAGTTGAGGCAACTTTAGCAAAAAAAAGTATAAATGACCGAAACATACTTTACATACCATAAGCACAAAACACACGCCTGATTTCACTAACTTAAAAACTCAATATCAAATAAAACATTTAAATTAATGCAGCTAATGATAATTCTTTCCAAGAAACTCACCGCTTAAAAACAGTATTTAAACTTTTGATGTGATTAGTAATTGCTTCTGAAATTTCATGAAATAGATTGATTAGTCTACACGACCATCTACCTACGAAACAAAAGAAATCAATATTATTATAACACGTAAGTGACATACACTCATCTATTCAATTATGAAGTTCCATCAATGCGAAACTTAATAAGTCCTTTTATTTTATAAAGCGACCATTTCGCTAGTCTTTTAAGATTTAGAATGAGAAAATAGTTTTTCGAATTACTCGATTTATAGTAAGAGAGTAACTTGATCGAGTAAAAAACAAAATCCAAAATGTCTGTAATCAATAAAAAACTACATTGCGTAACACAACTTATCGCTGGAGGAAAAATCGGGTTGCCAAACATATCGATTTTCAATAGGTATATTCGATAAAAAGAAAACATCCAGAAGATAAGTCGACTTATTCTTGAAAAATAAGTCGAGTTGTTCATAGATATAGATTTTCAATAAGTATACTAGATCAGTAAAAAATATTTAAAGGATAAGTCAACCTATCAAGCCAAAGCAGCAATTCAATTTCAAAGTAGATACGCAGTTTTTTACGACTATATTCTGAATTTTTACGGATGTGGGTGTGATGTTGGGTGATGGTATGGTTCTTTCATCCCATTCACATTCTCACTCACACTCAAACGCAACCATCGGTAGGCAAATTACTACATGTTTTTCAGGTGCTCGATCTTCTTGATAAATATTAACAATTAAACAGTCCTTTTCACTACATGGGATGTCGTAACTATGCTGATGAGTTTTTTTTAATCAAACATTATTTGAAGAAAAGCTTCAATATATGTCTTCGATAATAAATTAATTGTGCCTGATTCAGCGTAGCTACGAGCGCAAATATTTTTTGTAGAACAAAAACTTAATGAACTCGTTCTTGTGAGATTTTATCGGTCAAAATGACTATTTTTGATATGCCCTAACTATTTGATGCCATATACAATACACAAGATGAAAAAAATTTCGTTCCAACATGTGTTTACACTTAGTTCTGGTATTCTCAATTAAATGAAAAGTGCCGATTCATTTTGAGGATGCTTCACCGTTCTGTTGTGTCATGTCATATTTTATGAAAGTGTAATAAGAAGAAGTTATGTATGATTCGAAAGGAAACAGTTTTCTTTCGGTACCGTTCTCTACTGAAGAGAAAGAGGGTTAACACTTATACTATTATTTTCGTATTACACATTAGATTGATATTTATTGTCATTCTATTACCTTGAGAAAAAAGTATGATGACGCGAGCCATAAGTAAATTATTTTTTTATATTCTTTTCTTTTCTTTTCTCCTTTTTTAAATTTGTTATTGTCATCCAATTTTTCTACATGTGCTATTAGGGCTTGATCGTCATCAGTGATCACAAAGAAAGAAAGAAAGAAAAAAAGTATCATGCTATTTTATCTATTTTATCTTGTCATTATAATGATAAAGCATTTATTCTTAGTCTTTTACCACTCTGAAGCAATATGACGAGTGAAACTAACAAAGACGAAGGATCTCCACAAGAACTTTTTTTTCGTATATCCGGAACAGGTGAAGGACATTGGGAAACTGAAAGACCACAACCAGCAATTATTAAACTTGTTGAACAAGGAATTTTTCATTGTGAAATACTTGATGTTGGCTGTGGCATTGGTGATAATGCAATATATATTGCAAGTCATGCAAACAACGTTAATATAACGGCTATTGATCTAGTAGATTCACAATTTATTTTATTTATTTAAAAAAAAGTTAAATTTTATTTAGGTACCTAAAGCAATTGAAGTTGCTCGTGAAAAAGCTCAAAAAGCAAATGTTAATATTCAATTTGAAGTTATTGATATGCTTAGTGATGTTTCAACAAAAAATTTAAAACAAAATTCATATGATATTATTCTCGATGCAGCTGTTTTTCATATTTTTTCAAATAATGATCGTCAACGTTATGTTAAAAATCTTGAATATTTAATTAAACCTAATGGTTTATATATTCAATTATGTTTTAATGAAAAAGAAATACGTGAAGGTGGTCCACGTCGAATAAAAAAATCTGATTTAGAAGAATTATTTTCATCGAAAAATGGTTGGACAATTGAATCAATTGAAGATTCTATTTATGAATCGACCAGTGCCGGTCCTTTAGGATTAGATGGTCGAGCTTATCTTTCATTAATTCGACGTGATAAAAATATTTAATATTGAAATCTATTTTGATTGAAAAAACAAATAAAAAATGATCAGGTTCAGTTTATAGTATTTCGTCAACGTTCAATTAAAGAACGACTCCATTTTGGAATTGCAACAACCGATGAACTCTAAATTAAATGAATTTTTTTTCACAGATTTTGTAATCGAAATCTTACAGATATAAATTCATTATGATTAGTTAAGTGTTCGAAATGATTCGTACTTGTTGATATATCTTCTGTATTTGTTAATGATTCTTGTTGAAGATGTTTATTTAAAAAATTCGATTCTTTATCCCTATAAAAAAAAGTTCGAATTAAAATCAATTTAATTTTTTAAAACAAAATTTTTTTTTTATTAATCATGCAAATTATTATGAAATTCCTACCGAATGATATCTTCCGCTTATCTTTAAAATTAAAAAAATCAAATAAAAAAATACTTTTCTGTGTAATTTTCTTACTGAAGTTCTTCTCTTGTTTGATTTGTCATTTTAAGCCACGAAGAATATTTATTCGATGATTGTTCATCCTGATCTATTTCAGATTCAAAAAAAAATTGACTCTTTCTTTTTTTGTTAAAAACTTTTTACTTAATAAATCTTGTTCAGTAACTTGATTCGATGCATCTGCATGTGGAACATTTCTTTTTTTAATAACTAATCGAACAATAGTTGCTTTTTCAATTTGAACAGATGAAGAATAAACATCACGCCGAAGTTCATTAGCAAGTAATAGATAACCAGAATTTTTAGCTAAATCAACAGCAGTTAATTGTTCACAATTAACAGATGTTAATGAACAGTCACCACGTTCGATTAATATAGAACAGGCATGTCGATGACCATGTTGTGCTGCCTAAATTTCCGAATAAAATCATAGAACATCTAACAAATTAACACATTTATCATATCAATATTAAACAGAAAAGTCTGTCTTTTTTTATTTGAAGTGATACAAAGAAAAAAAAATTCAATCATAAGATCGATTCATGTTCTACTTTTTTCGAGAAAATCTCTTCCTTAATCGTGACAAAATTAACACGGCTACATTAACTTCATCAGATTCACTACAGTTCTAACTGTTAGACTTGTGCTTACATTCAAATAGGGTACAAATTCATGAAATATCTTTGCCATCGTCCCTATGGATGTTCCTAATCTGAATGTAAGGCAAATATTCAATACAGATAAAAACTCTATTGAGAAATTGTATTTCTTAGGGTTTTATTTTAAAATGTAGTAAAAAAAAGAACAAATCATTTCTTTGCCATATTATTTGCATTTCAATTATCATGAAAGATAATATAATAGCATTCAATCCAAAGTCTATTTCAATAGATTGTATTGGAACTACAAACTCGAATCAACAAAGAAATTTCGACAATCTTTTGTGTTCGACTTTTTTTGAACTCTAAAAGTGAATTTTCTTCCTACTTTTTTTTATTGCATGGAAAACATCTTTGCAAATAAGATGAGTTTTACTATTGATTATCACAATCTTCAATATAAGTTTTTGTTTATAAATTTTGTAAATAAATTCTTACTAACCAAATGTAATGGAGTATTTCCATTATTATTTGAAATAACTTTAGCATTTTTTTCTAATAAATAATTAATCATATGTTCATTACCAGTTGTAGCAGCATAATGTGTTGGTGTATTATTCATATAATCGACATCATTTATTTTAAAATTTTGTTTTTCAATTAACCATTGAACAATATCAAGATGATTATTTTGACAAGCTAAATATTTTCAAAAAAAAAAGAGATAAAGGAAAAGAATAGAAAAATAAAACGAACCAATATGTAAACAATTTAAACCATTTTGATCTTTTAATTGTAAATTTGCTCCATATGATATTAATATTTGAATAGTTTCTAATGAACCACCTTGACAAGCAAGATGAACTGGAGTTAATAATTGATTTGTTTGTTGATTAACTGTATATGGTGATTTTGATAGTAATAATTTAACACATTGAGTATGACCCTGTTGAGAAGCAAAATGAATTGGTTGAAAACCATTATAAGTTCGATAATGAGGATCAGCAAATTCTTCTTCAAGTAAATAATGCATAACATCTAGTGAATTATAATAAGCAGCTAAAGAATATACAAATAAATTAAAGAAAAAAGAAAAAAGAATTTTTTTTCTTTTACCAAGATGTAATGGTGTATTTCCTTGTTCATCTCGAATAGTCCAACAAAGTTTATCAGAAAAATTTCTTTTATAATAATTAAATATATATTTGAGAATATCCATTTGATTACAAACAGCTGCATCATGTAGACATGTTGCACCGTGTCGTGTACATAATTGACTTATATCAATATGTTTTATTTCAAGAAAATATTTCAATATATTTAAATGTCCATATCTTGATACATAATGAATAAGTGTAGCTTGATTTTCATCACGTATTGAACAGATGTTTGATGATGATACAGAATTTAAATGATTTTCAATTGTTTGTAGATCTCCTTGTACACATGCAGTGAAAAGAAATAAATTTTTAATGATTGATGAATGTATACTACTACTAGTTTGTGATAAAGCCATTTAAATGAGAATTTTTTACATTTTCTCTTACATAAGAAAAAAAAAACAATTCTTATTGATGATCAACAGAAAGAGAAAAACAAGTTCATAACTTTCAAGATTGCTTCAAGGAAAATATAATAAAGAAAACTAATGTTTATCAAGGACGAATAATTAATAACTCATCTCAACGTCATTTTTAAGAATACCCATTATATACGCAAGTCGATAGAGGACTCTCACTTTTCAGAAAAGTTTACAGTCATAGCGAGTCACTCCATGCTTTCTTTTTTCCTTTTTACGTCTTGTCTCACTATGATGACAATGTTTGAATTTTTTATTAACATAGAGCAAGACCGTTGTTTCATACAAAAAAAGAACTGATGAATGGAATATAAGTGATACAACTAAACTTTTATTATGAAAGATAAAATTGTATATAAGTCAGTTTTGAAAATGTATTACTAAATGTTGTTGTATGATCAAAGTCGGCTTGACAACTCAAAATGCAACTTCTTATCTAGAATTTAGACCAAAACTATTTTTATGACATTGTAGAAAACAATATATCATGTTTTAGTTCAAACATTTGTACAGAAGTTTGTTACATTCATGTCATATTCAATTGATCTTATCGGATATATAAATATTATCATAACATCTCTTTATTGTATGTTGCTTTTTTCAGCAAAAACCAATCAGAATGTAGAAATATCATGGAGCTAACTGTTTCAGCGAACATTTATTTGATAGTCACTCTCTTCTCAGTAACTATTCCGAAAGATTATTAAAAAAAAACATATTGTTCCAATAAGAAACAAACCAAGACTCAGAGATTATGCAGTTTTGTATATATGACTGTTCAGTATGGATCTTCTCTTCGATTAATAAAAACGTGTTTGTGTTTATCGATTAATACTATTTCTAAAAGTGTACATTCTTGATACTGAGAATTGCTTTATCATTGAATAATGAAATTATGATTATTTTCTTGTACCTGATTTTGAAGCAATATATGATAAAGAAAAAAAACAAATTCATCTAATTGAAATTATTGAATTTCTTGTTGTAAAACTAAATATTCATATATTTCAAAATAAATTTATATTTCCTACATGCTATTGAAAATTCATTTTCTAAGTGAAAAAAATAAAAATAAATTTTTCTATTTTTGGACATAGCATCAATACTTAATGCTCAATTAATTAAATTTTGTACAGATAAATGAATTTAAGATATCGTATAGATCCTTAATTTACCATTACCGGTCGGAAGAAAGGCTACTTCATTTTATTTCCAATATATTTTAATCTTTAAATCATATGAAAGTGATCGTGTCTAATTTTTACTTACGTTGAGGGGTAAAAACTTTCTTTATACATTTTTATTATAAATTAATATCGTATAATTGCTTGAAGAAATGTATCATGATTGTAACTAAGGATTTCCGAAATCGTACAATAGCAAAGTCTGCTAATTGGAATTATGTAAGACTTTATATGATCACATAAAATAAATAATTTTACGTCTCACTTGTACAATAATAATACATATTCTTTATAGTGGTGCTGATCTGCTGAAACAATATTATTCCAAAGATAATGTTATCAATTCGCTTAAATTATTTATTTTGCATTTTAGTTTATTTTAGCTATGCCATCAATAACAATAATTATTCTTTTATGTCTTTCCAGTGCATATTTTTGTTTTCATTTAGTTATTTATAAATAAATATTCAAAGACAAGTAAAGATAAAAACTTTATTAAGAAAACAAGAGATGATAGAAGTCGAAAATTGAAGAAAATTCTGAAAAATCATACATGAATCGGAGAACAATCAAACAGTACAATTTTATCAGAAATGGTAGCTTTGAGATTGACATATAAACTTGTACAACACCATATTCAAATTTCATACTCTCTTTGAAGAATCTTACAGGATCTTATAATAGGAATTTTTAATGTGGATGGAGACGCGCTGCCGAACAACTGTTGTAAAAAAAGATCGACTTCTTTCGAAAAAAATTGATTTTTTAGACAAGACAAAAATCTAATCTTTAAGACGCATATGAGTGCAAAGTCATAATGATTTTCAAATTGCGCATCGGAGTATCAACTCGTGTCTTTTCTGAAAAAATGATTTTTTTAATGACGTTCGATTTTTTCAGAGGTTTCAATCAAATTTTTAGCTATTTTTGAGTTTTCTTTTCATCTAATTGTGAAAAAAAACACATAGTTTACTGTTGGTGTAACTTTAGGTTAGGCAACATGTGAATAGCTCATCAGAAAAAAAATTTTGGTTTCGATTCTGGCTCCGTTTTCTCTTATTAACCGGTTTCGGGTAAGAGAAGCTGAAAATTTCTGGTTCTTTCTTTCACTTTTTTCCAACTTAAAAATTTTCAAATCTAGACAAACTTAATGTCAAAAAATCCTAATGAAAAACATAATAAAAATGAACTTTTGAAAGTTTATTTTAAATCATAAGAAAAATATTTGAATTCAACATTTCATGGTTAATATCTATAGCCTGTATTCTTTTCTCTTGCTTACATGTTTGTATTTCACTTCAGAATACAACAGTTTTATGATACACACATATCTTTTGTAAATATTAATCATCTCTATTAATATCAAAAATCAAGTTTCCCCTGAATTAATTGAAACGTAAATGCACATGGTAATATTTAATATCAATGTCAGCCACCGTCCTTTACACAAATGTACTTCACTTTTTGCGCTCCCGTCTGTTTCGTCTAGCAAATTGAATCATTTTAATTCGCTTGTGATATTAATATAGAATATTAAAAAAATAATATATTTTCGTTTCATGTATTTTTTATACCTCATTTCACTACTCTTTCTCCTGGTAAAGTATTATATAGTGCAACAGCAGTATACTTGACATTGCTATTTTTTTTTGTAATACATCCTTATGGCATGATTATATATTATCAATGAGAAAAAAGAACTTAAATTTTTTTTTTCTTATAGTTATTATGCTAGACAAGTTCACTTTATGTATTAGCATTTCGTATATTTTCTTGATCTCGTAGTTGATAATAATTATAAATATTCTTGCCATCTGTTGACCATATTGGAATAATTGATTCATATTTTCCACATGCAAAACAAAAACCTTCCCATTTGTCAGATATAATAGGTGTATGACAACCGGAGCATTTTTTATCGATTTCCGTCACACCATTCCACCATCTATATATATTGTCTTTTGTTTTTTTGAAACGATGCAGTGCTCGATCTCGTGTTTGTTTAACTTCAAGATGAGAACATCGAAATTCAAGTGGAAATTCTTGTATTTTAATTTTGTTTAAATTACAGTCAATATTGGAATATTTGCGTATAGTTACGTGAAGATCACTGAATGGTGTTCCACTCCAATCTTTTGATTTTGTTTGGTTTTTAATTTTTTCAAGTAATAGTTGAAATTTTTCAAGAGAAGCTTCGGTTTCAAGATCATAATCAATAGGAAGTACAACGAAATTGATATTTCTGCGTCCTTTAGGACGATTTGCACCAGAAACAATATTAATTCTTGACGTTCGAAACATAATATCAGGAATATAAGGCATGTCTTGTAAAGAAGGTGAAAATTTACTAAAAACCTCTTCTAACCGATGTGGTGCCACATCAGTGAAAAATTTAGCAAGTGTTATATGAAAATAACCATCCCAAATGTCAGTAAGTGTATATCCCAAATGATTGGACGGTGCTAATAAACCAAAATAATGATTGAATGCACCTAAACCTTTAAATTCTTGATCTCGTTGATTCATTTTTGCTATGATACCCATTTCAACTGGTTTCAATTGAAGATTGACAGCGTAAGCCTTGATTTCGTCATTATTCACTTCTGTTCGATGTGCTGAAGAACCAGCATATGTAACTTCTTCAATATTGTTACTATTTGTTAAAATTTCTCGTTGTGATGATCCAGCGGAATAATAATCGGTGCAACGATGATAAGATTGATCTTTATCTCTATTTTGTCTGGACGATGAAGTATTATTTTTATTTCCATCTTGTGGACGAAAATTAAAATCCTTATTATTTTGATTCCCGTTGTTACTGGCCATGTGTTTTTTTTTTGGTGTAATATTAATTTTTATGATACAGAATATGTCTTTAATATTTCTTTATTATGGTTGCTTTTTGTCTTTCTCCGTGTAGTATGAATACAGCAAAATTTATTATATACTACTGACGCATAAAAAAATAACATGTAATGACTTGTGACAAGCCATGCATCCGCTAGATTTTTACATTTGTTTGTTATAGTTTTGAATAAAACATTTTATTTTTTTTTTTCATTACTGATCATATATAATGAATGGAAAGAGAGAGAGACGCAGAGAGAAATCGAGAAACAAGTTTCATTTTTCCACTGTCAACATGCATACTCTTCAAAAAGCTCCAGGTATTTCATCTTTTTGTTTTTTTTAATGCATTCCACTTTTTTTAAAGCTTTTTCCACCCTTCTACTCTCTCATTTCACAATACATCATTAGCAATCTGTTTATGCTTGCTCTTTTCTCTTTTTCTTTTTCGTCAATCAACGCTATCCTTCTGTTACCATAAAACTTCATGAAACTATAACAAGCTTTTACATAGTTGTCTAGTTTTCTCTTTTCTTACAACTTCCGAAAGAATGATCTTATTCATTGAAGTAAAAAGAAAAGATGTTCAAGAGTCTTTATAGGCTATTTTACGATCTTGAACAATAAATTTAAGAGTAAGAGAAGAAAATAAAATGAAGAGTATGGTGAACATTTTATTGTGTGGAATGTAAAATTTTGATTTAATAAACCAATAGAATGCAGTTGAATGGCAAAAATTTTGTTATAAGGAGCAGATTACAAGATTTGATTGGTTTTTTTATTGCAAAGACAAAAAATAATTTGTTTTTTTGTCTCTCAAAAAAACAGACATGCAGTTAAAGTACAACTGATATCTTCTATGTTTTTTATTATTTGTTTTAGTTTTATGATATTAAATATCTCTTCAAATTATGTCATATTTTAATTCAAATAATTCTCGTCGAGATAATGGGAGAAATCGTGATTTTGATCGATTTCATCATTCAAGAAATGACAATCATCCATATCAACGTTACCAAAATAAAAATTGTGGTCGCAATTCATTTCTCACTGATGAGGAAACTAATTTAGTTTATCAAGGAAGAGATGAACTTTTTGATAAGAAGAAAATTTTTTCAATAGTTACTTCACTTAAAGATAAATCAATATTATTATCTGACAATCTTTTTAAAACTGATCGATGGGATATTGAGGAATTAATTCAATTAAAACAAAAACTTAATGATACACGAAATCGTTTAAATGAAAAAGATATTAAAGTATGGAAACAACATACATCGAAAACAAATATGACAGGACGTGTTGTGTGGGCATTGCGAGATCAAAATCGTATTGAAATGTGTACAAATGCATGGATTAAAATGGCTGAAATATTTTCTAAATATGAAAATCTCATTCCAAGAGGTAAATAGTGGTTAATACGCAAACAAAAAAAAATGAATAGAATTGAGGGAAAATAGATCTTACTAAATTTATTGTATGTTTTTCCTCCGACATATCTATAATTGATTTTAAATACAAGTCAAGAACTAGAAAAGGTTTCAAAAAGAAATCTGTGATAAATTATTCTTTGATTTACAATGGAAAAGATTATTTTACGATCAGATAGTCAAAATTTAGCTAAAAATATGTCGAAACTCAGCAAATAGAATCATCAAAGTAGTCAAAATACCTGTTAAATGATCGGTGTTAGACAGCTTTTGATACATGATTACTATATAGCCAATAATAGCTGTTCTCAAATATATTAAAAAAAACTAATTTTATTGCATTTGTAGATTTGCCTGAGAATCAAACATTTAGAACCTTACATGTATGCGAAGCACCGGGTGCTTTTATATGTGCAACTAACTTCTACTACAATCAATGTTTCGAAAGAAAAGGTTCGCGTACAACTCAACGGTTATGGGAATGGACAGGTCTTTCACTTAATCCGTATTATGAAGGCAATGATCAAGAAGCTATGGTCGATGATGATCGCTTTATAATTGAAACATTAGATAGATGGTATTTTGGTATAGATAATAGTGGAAACATTTTAGATCAAAATAATATTAAAGGTGTATGGAATAGAGTTCGGGTGAGTTTGTTGATTCAATATTCACTTTATATGTAACAAGTTCAATTGATTTTCTTTTTCAAATTCAACAAAATCGGATAACTTTTCAGTTAGTTTTTTTGCAGGAAATTTTTTAATATGATAATGCTACATTCCGCTGTCAAGTAAACTATACTATATTTAAATGACGTTTTTGTCAGGTTGTCAACTATTGAATATAATTATTATTCAAGAATTGAGGATTAGTTTCTCTCATGCTTTATAATTCTTGTTCAAAGGCATATTAATGAGCTATTTAAACTTATACTTCAATTTTTAACATCAGTTCTAATCTGAAACAAGACAACATTGTCTAATTTAATACGAAATTGATTAGCAAAAGTGATGTCCATGCCAGAATTAGAAAGGGAGGAGTGTAAGCTCAATACCTTGACAATGGTAGTAGCTAGCGATGTGCTCTTTTCAACAGCCGAAAGAGAAGATTACCGAATGTTTTTCTGTATAATATTTTATAAAATAAAATCATCCTATACACTGTTATTCATACAAAACTTTTTCGGAAACACATGGAAACAATATGCCAATACAATAAATTTTTGATTTTTATATTCTTGTTTGGTAGCTAAACGTCAAATCAATACTTCTATATTAAACTCAAACACTTAGCTACTCGTTGTCTTCTCTTCATCAAACTACACGGAGCTTCAGATGCCTTATAATAAGCACTATTGCTCTAAATTGAAAATAATCGCTATCACATAATCATCTAAGTGACTATGTGAAAGTGACTATTTTCAATTCAGAGCAATATTACTTATTATAAGGCATGCGAAGCTTCATGTAGTTTGATGAAGAGAAGAAAACGAGTAGCTAAGTGTTTGAGTTTAATATAGAAATGTCGATTTGACATGTCTCTATCTAATACAAATATACAAACTCAAAATTTCATTGTGTCCGTATACCATTTTCATGTGTTTTCAAGAAGAATTTGCATAAACAACAGTAATTAGGATGATTATGGTGCAGACATTAGTAATCGGTATAAATCATGTGATGATTTGAAGTACTTATATAAAAAGAAAAAAACCTATCGACAGGAAAGATATTTAAAAGTTGATCATTTCTTTAAACAATAGATCCTTCAGTACATAAATTCTGCTTTTTAATTTCTATCGATGAACAACATAAATGAAGACTGTTATTTTTAATTTACTAATGCATATTTCTAATCTTATCTCTCAATAATTTTCAAAGGCGAAAACACTTACAAAAGTTATCAATGATAAATAGATGGCGTTTAGTTTTTGAATGATAATAATTATATGTTCGATTGTCTATCATATTTGACTTGCTTATTAAGTTTTGTTTTGCTTAGACTGATCTAAAATCAATTGGTGTTCATCTTATAACAGGTGATGGTTCTGTTGATACATCTGCTGATCCAAATGAACAAGAATCAATTGTATCTGAACTTCATTATGCTGAAGCAATATGTGCTCTAGGAGCTTTAGCAAAAAATGGTTCATTGGTATTAAAAATGTTTAATTTATTTGAATGCGAAACAATATGTCTTCTTTACATATTGGCTCTTCATTTTAAAGAACTAAGTATTTTTAAACCAGCATCATCACGTGCACCAAATGGTGAAACATATGTTATTGCAATAGGATTTCGTGGTATTGATTCAGAAGTACTTAATTCATTACTTTCATTTGTTTCAACTGAATTTCCTCATGGTAAAGCTCTGTTATCACGTACATCAATTCCTCAATCATTTCTTGATGATTTGATTAAAATTGCGGATTATTTTACTATGAAACAAATTCAAGCACTTGAACGTAATCTTGAATTAGAAAAAGTTTGGAATCGAAATATTCAACAAGCTATTTTTGAATTAAATCAAGATGTTGTTAAAGAATTTCGACGGCAATGTTTTATTGATTATAATTATCAACAATTCGTACGTATTGTAACTAATGTTGAACTTGATGGATCAGCTAAAGTATTAGGTAATAGTGCTGCAATTGTTAAAGGTGGATTACGTCAGCGAACAGGTGGAACACTTGATGATCGACAAAATAGAAAACGTAATCGAGAAGAATTTTTATCTGGCATTAATAATAATGATGAAGGAGAAGAACAAGTAATAAAAAAGATGAATTTAGAACATGGAAAGACAGTCATTTTTGGACGAAATACTTTACAGAAATCGACAACAAATGAAATCAATACTGAATTGGATATAGATTCATCCATAAGTCAACAACAAGAATCAAAAGCTATGAAAATGATGAAAAAAATCGGTTATGTAGAAGGACAAGGTTTAGGGATTCACGGTCAAGGACGAGCCATACCAATAGAGACAATTAAGCATGATACTCGTCTTGGTTTAGGTCATCATTATCAATTATTGATTAACTCATCGTCATTTTCAGGCATACCTACAGTTATAGATGAACCATTATTTTCAAGCTTTGATCAATCTATATCAACTAGTTTATTGTCTCCAATATTAAACCTTCAAACAATAACAATCGGTTCTAATTTATCGTCAATTTTATCATCACTTTTTGTTAAATTTGACGATCTAGAATCACTTTATAAGAAACGTGAAGAATATATTTCCAAGACTGAAAATTATCATATGAAAAAAACAAAAATTTTTATTAGTGATCAACTTGAACTATTAAACAAAGAAGAACAATATGGAAATATACATGGAATTTATGTTAATTTTCAAACTGCATTTCAATTGGCATCACTTGATAAAATATTTAAATTGGTAAGATCAAACACTTTCTAGTCAATTTTATAGTTGATTTAAGATTTTATATTATTAATAAAAAAAAATAAACTTAGGATTTGTTTTTGAATAATTAAATGTATATTTAATGAAAGAAATAATTTGTCAACTATTTTTTTTTTCTTTCTATTTCTATTAATAGACATCAATGACTCGAAATAGTTTATCTCCTCTGTCATTCATTATTGATAATAAATCTTTGATTGGTTTTGCTGAATATCTTGTTCGGCAACAAGAACATAATGTAGCTGGTCTCATACTATCTGATTTACATAATTCATTTCCAATTTATTCATCTGTTATTTATAAATCTCAAATTGATGTACATCATCCTAAAGTTCATTTATTTTTTTCTGATTTATCGATTTTACCGATGAATATTGAAATCAATATGCGTTATATTGAACAATATAATAAACGTCAATTAATTATTTCATGTCAACGTGCATTAACCATGTTGGATGAAGGTGGTCATTTTATATGTAAAATTTTAGATACATTAACACGTTTTACAACTGGTTTTATTTATTTACTCTATCATTCATTTACATCAATTACTATTCTTCGTCCATTTACTCTTGATCCAGCAAATTCTGAACGATTTTTAGTTTGTCGTCAATTAAAATATCCTATTCGTCAATCAATTATTCAACATCTGGATAATTTATTACAATATGAAAAAATAGAAAATATTTTAGAAATAGTACCTTTGAAATGTTTAATTGAATCACAATTTCAACAATATATAGCTGATACAAGTCAACGTTTATTACAAAGAGAAATACAAGCATTAAATAAACGTTTATGGTATATTGATCATAGCAATGATGAACAGGTTTGTTAAACATTAATCTTTCGAACTTTTTATTTATATGATTGTTCATAGATTGATCCTATGATAAAAGAAGAACATTGGAAAGAAGCACATGAATGTGTCACGGTTCAACATCGACTTAAACCAGCAACAATTGTTGAACCTGATTCGGGCATAATACTACCTATTGGATGGATAAAACAATGGAGTAAAAGAGAAGAACGATTTTATTATTTTAATACGAATACAGGTGATTCTCGCTGGGAACCACCGATATAAAAAAATACACTTTTTTTCTTTCAAATATTTTTTTTATCTTCAATGTTGTCTGCACCTTATTATAATCAATCATTCTGCACTGCATTATTTTTTTCTTGATTAACGATCTCAAATATTAAAAAAAAATCTTTCAAACTTTATAGAGTATCTCTCTTATCATGGTTACACCCAGACCCTTGTGTTCGTCCTGGAGGCTATGTCAAAAATTACTTTGCATTCTGTTCTGCGAGCGCACTCTCATCGGTTATGTAAAAAGTAGGTTTTTTTCTACGCTGTAACCAAGAGCGCAGAAAATAGGAATCCAGAATTCCCAAAAAAAATCAACTTCATTTTCTCAGTTTTGCAACGAACGACAAATGTCTGAATTCTCATATATTGTTTCAAATAATTTTCAATTTTCTATTAGAAGCTTAGCTTGAAACAGCAGACTCCTGTGTAAAACAATATTATTTTGAGGGTCAAATGACGAAAATATTCTAGCGAAGTTCTGTAAAAACTAAGTATACGTTCGAGAAACTGGAGAATACTTTCTTGATGAATGAATTGCTACATTTGATGCATTGATAAGTGTATTTTGAATAACATAGTAAACTACTTGAGATTCATTGAATTTGTTTTCTGAATGATTTTATTAATATATTTTTTTTTGCTATTCGTTGATCTCACTAAATTCTCTTCAGAAACGATTACAAATTAAATGTTGACTATGATAATTGTATTGAACAATATGTCAATGAGACAAGTTTTTTAAGAAAAATTGTTGCAAATGAAATTTCATATCTTGAACAAAACGACATTGAATATCATAGATTATGTCTGATATTTCTTGATAGATACTATATCATCATGTGTAATTCTTAACGAATGTGTTTATGTCCCTAATGATTCATATATTTTACCTCCTAGTGTTTTACGTCATTTTAAGATTCTTGAAAAATTTATGTAGAACTTTTGTGTGAGTGTCTATTTCAAGATTCAAATTTAATTTGATAAACAGAATATTAAGATGGTCTCAAATGGAAAACTGTAGATGATCATATGATAGTGTATCTATCTGCAGAGTTCTTATGAGAACACATAATAGAAAATTCGATAACAATTATCAGAAGCTTTTTTTAATTTGAAATATATATGGTGGTCAGTATTATAGATCATTGTAAAAAAATTTTTACTCAAAAAGCCTATAGACAATTGCAATAATGACTAGTCCGAAGTGCAATGATTTTATTTTAGTTGAAAAAAATTTGTATGCAATACCTTTTGATTTCAAACTCTCTAAAAAAATGGACAACAATAAAGATATCTATAAAAATCTAAACAAATCATCTTGTTAAGACATGTTTTATAATGCATCGCAAGCTTACACCATACCAAACACTGACCATGTAGGAGGTTTCATCGTTTTATGCAATTAGTTAAATGTTGTTCGTAAGAAACATTGTAGAGTTTTTAATAAAACAAAAACTATCTGTTTTTGTAGTTTTCTATGTAGAGCTTAAATCGACGCTTCGCACGCCAATCCATACAGTTAATTTACTGGATGGAAGCTTATGCATAGCCGTGAAAAATAATTTAAAGAATAGAAACGATGTTTTGATATCTAGGCATTCTTCAACTTGTCAAGTCTTATTAAATATGGTATAGAGAGAAGGACTAGTACAGAATTTCATTGTATATAGATGGATTGATGCACACTCACCTTGAGTAAGATCATCGTCTGGAAATTCACAATTTCCTTTGTCGATCTATACGTATTCATTAATATTATCAAAAAAATAGTAGGATACTTGTTGACATTTACAAATATTTAAGAATGTTTTATGGAAGACTAGTTCATATTTTCAGTATGTTTTGAATTTGTTTAGTTTTCAAACATAATTTTCAATTGATTTATCAGGAGGAAAAACTTTGGTTGAAGAGAGAACATCTAACTTACTAATTAGATGATAAACAAAGGCGATAAAATAAACTTTTCTTGTGGTTTATAAATACATTTGTCCTCACACGCTAACTATACAGCAATAACAAACAAATACGTTCATTTTTCGTTCTAAAACTAAGTCAATTTATTTGTATCTTTAGCTATAATCATCTTCCATTAATGGCTGGAACAGTATTAAAATTTTCTTCGATTACAACAAGTGGAGAACGCTCTGACTGGATTGCAGTTTCAGTGCTGACATTACTCTGTTAGAATAAATAAAGCCAATAGATTAATATACAATCTGAAGATGTAAAATTTTTTCATGTTCACACTACACGATCGAGAGATGAACGATTCCGATTCTAAGTTACAAAAATATTGGAATCGGTAGCATTGTCATGAAAGACAACAAAAGTTTTCTTTATCTTCTTACAAAAAATTAAATTAGTTGTTCATAAATTTATTTGAATAATATTTAAAAAACAAGCATTACCATTTCTCAAAAAAAACCCAATGCATTTTAATTGAAGAGCGTACATTTATTAGTTCACTTTTTTTTTTAGTCCCACTTGCACAGTTTTAACAATGTAGACACTATGAACAATATTTTTTATTGTGGTAATTCAAGAGATCCTTATGATTTCTATTCATTCTTAATTCACTGCTGCACACCGTTGTCGTTGTGATTGTTTCCAGTGATGTTATATTCGTAATTTGTGACAGGTGGTGTCGATCCAAAAAAAAACGACTTTCATTGTAAGTCAAACCGATTTTCTGGTCATTTAAAATCATGCTTTTAAAATATTCCTATGAGAATTCATTTAAAAAACTTCGTATCACTATAGTCTGAAAGAAATGCAACAAGTGAAACTTCAAATTTTGAAATTTTTTCACATAATTCTAACACCATGCAACATTTTCATGTTTAAAAACAGACGCAAGACAATATCAAACGAGCTTTTTTATGTATCTATATGTCTTATTTCTTTCATATAATTGTTCTTGCTATATTTGTTCGTCGATGTATTCGTTTCATCATTGCGACTTTAAGTGATTCAGGAAACTGAAATAAAGTTATCATTACAAATACTGTTGATGCATTAACAAATAATTAGATAAACTATTCGAAAATGATTTTTTGGTGGACTTGTAAAAAATGACATTAAAGTAAATGATGCATAGGGAAAACCAAGTATGACTGACATAGTTATAAGTATAACTATACGTTTAACCATTTGTAATTCTCTTTTTGCACGAAATAAAATGTTAACATGTGTAACATGATTATCCATTCCATGAACATATCGAACTAATTTAAAATAATTAAACATAATCAATGCAATTAGAATTCTATAGATACGTAATGTTACAATAATCATTGAAACGGAAAATCGAACATATATATTTGACATATTTGATTGTCAACATTATAAAGAATTTCACCAGTGAATACAAATGGAATAGAATATAATAAAGCAAATATCCATGTTAAACAAATTAATAAAAAATAAAATCGAAATGATCGAAAGTATAAACGATTTCGATAAACCACTGTAAAATATCGATAAATTACTTGTAATAAAAATGACTTATTACATAGAGCACATGTTGCATAACTCATATAACCTCGAAAAACACAAAATAAATCTTGAAATTGAATCTATTTAAGATCATTTTGAAATGTTCTTAAATATATACTAAGGATACTACATCCAAATATAAATGCACTTACATATGAATTACCAGTTAACATCATTGGTATTGTATGACAAGTTTTATTAAGAATAATAAGAAATAGAAATATACAAGAAAGCTCTATGACTAAACTATTAGACACAATATTTAGAATATCAATTGAAATAAATCATGATTCAAAATTTGATTTAGACGAGTTTATATTAATAGTTGATGATAGAAAAAACAAAGTTGAATTCATCTTTGAAATAATCAATAAGAAAAGAAACACATCAAATGAATAAATCTCAACATTTTATATGATGAACAAGTCATGTACAACATTTTTAATGAAAAATAACTATTTTTAGAACACTAATGGAAATGTTCTCTTGTTTTTCTTTTATAATATCTTCTATTATCATTAACAAAGAGTCACATTTAACCCTTTGAGGACGAATTTTTTTTCAATAGAAAAAAGCATTTTTCAATCATTTTGTTTTATTTTAACTCAAGGTGGCTACATAAAAATCTTATGATAATCAAAAAAATAACAATTTTTTTCATCTTTTAAACAAAATGGCAATTTGCAAGTAAAACACTCAATGTTGGATCGAAAATTTTCTTCCTTGGTACTACAATAAGCACATCTTCTTCTTTTTCCTCTCACAGACAAATGCATTTCATTGTCAATATTAAGGACAGTTTTTGGTGATGCTTGTTTAGATTTCTTTTCAGAAGGAGGTCTTCCACAACTTATTCGTTCACTACCGGAGCAGAGAGGTTTCACCACTGAAACCATGTAGTTTAAATATGTTAATTTATCCTGAGCTAACTGATTATAGCAAATAAATGAGTTGAAAACAGATACATTTACATTCTCGAAAAACAAAAGATCAGAGGAGAAGAGAGAAATTATGATGTCACTGTACCTCAGCAGCAAGAACAAGAGATATTTGAAAAGAATTTATATGAGAGAAGGAAAGAAAGAAAAGAAAAGTATGGCATGACTAATATAGTTGTTTATAACCTTAATGACCTTACGTATTTAATAGTTTAATGTGAAATAAACACTTTTTTCTTTACTGCAAAATAGGTGGTCCAAAAATGAGCCATTCGTTCTCAAAGGGTTAATTTAAAAAACTTTTTTTTTTAATTATTTGAATATTTTCCTTCATTATGCACTAATGAGCTTCTTAGTGCATTATAACAAAATATTCTTATTAAAGGACTATGGTGAGTATAGCGTAGTAAAAAAAAAACTCTTGAAACACAAAGTACATGCCAAATTCTATAAGAAACATTTTTTATAACTTAATACTCTTTCTAGATTCGTTATTTTTTGTTGAAGAGTCTGTCAAGAATTTTTCTATATATGATCAATGTAAGATTGTTATGCGAACTAAACGATCTTGTGAATTAAACACGAACCTAGTAGACAGAATCTTGCAACTCTTGGAAATAAATTCTGGATTATTTCTTTGATAATTTAACAAGACTATTATACTTTATTCTCATGGTTAAAGCTTTCTCAGGAATTACAAGCATCCACACAATGAATAAAATAATAATACAACAAAAACTATTAAAGTATCGACAAAACTAATAAGAAAAAAACAAGAAGTTCATAACTGTTTTAATGAAATATTGATCGAGTAGACCATAGAAAACTTTAGAAACAACAAAAATCTTACTTCGTAAGGCATGTTAACGATCAAGAATTCATTATAGAAATAAGCGAACAAGTTATTTAAATAGACAGAAAAAAAACAAGGCTAACTATCTATCATATCAACGTGGACAAGTATGTTTCTATCCCTCTGTTATCCATAGGAAGAATCTTGAATGGACTTCAACATGAAAAGAATTCCATCTGATGTGTCACGAAGAAAGACAAAATATCTGGAAAGAATAGAGACATGAATATTGACTTGTAGACGAGTCTAAATAGGAAAGAGAAATAAAAACCAGAGTGAATAACAAAGACAAGAGGATGAGTATATTTGTGAGAGACTCACACAAATATTAATTGAAAACTATTTCGAAAACTTGATACGGATAATGATTATATCATGATTAAATAGATTTTTCGAAAAATTTATCTTTACTATATTCATCATCAAATTAAATAAAATAATTATTCGACAAAATTTATTAAGTATACATTGAAATGAATATAGAAATGAGTGATTAATGGCAAAGATTAGAAAGTAAATTGTAAAAGAGAGAAATATGAGGAAAACTTTTGCAAAACAGATCAATGATTCAAATTCAAATACGAACTGCATTAAAAATATATTCGAAACTTATCATGTTGTATGTTCTACCTGTTTCGTTTCAATCAAAAATATCTATATTAATAATAAACTGAAATATACAATTGATTTATTAAACGAAAGAATATAACGAAAAGAATATATTCTAGGTTTTTTTTTGTATAGGATAATTCTTTTTAGTGATATATCAATTAATACAACAATGAAAAATAATATTTATTTCATTTATCTATTCAATTTTTTTTTAATTGAACCACATAATTGAATCACTATTATATAACATCATTAAAGCCTCCAAATAAACAAGAAACATCGAAGATCGTGACCCTTCATCTAAGAACATCTTTTGAACATGTTCATGAGAGCAGACGGCTTTTTCCTCTCCAATGAATACTATTTATAGCATCGCTTGAATACATTTGAGATGTTTATTTGTCATGTATTTAAATGCGTTTTTCACCAAAAACAACGAGTTTTCCATACGTGCGTTAGCGTGCACTGTTGATAATGTGTGTTTTTTTCTGAAAATATGAGTTATTTCACCAACAAGTTCAATGAATATTTGAATTTGAGTTTGAAGTAGAAACATCTCTTTTTTAAAATAAAAATCTGCTAACATATAGACAAAACATATCATGATATCACACTCAAAAAACAATGTAGTTTATGTATGTCAAATAGGATAAATGTAAATGAATAGAACAAGTTTATCTTCATAAAATATAAACCTTTTAAGCAAGTTGATTATGTTATATCGAAGTAAGAGCTCGGTTAAAATTTTTTTCGTGCAACAATTAGGAATACAGTACTTGTTAAATTTTCGAGAATATTTCTAGTGATACGTAGTTATCGCGTTACAATACATTATCATTATTTAAATTCACTCGAAGATAGTTTTTTTTTTTTTGAAACAAGACGAGTAGTACATGTTTGTTTATTGGCATCATAATACTTACTGATTCATTCGATGGATAATACACTTTAACATCAATAATCTTTTGTTTCTTCAACAATCGTATTTATGCATTGTGAAAATATTCATCTATTTCTATTCGCTTTTCATGTCTCTAATTGACAAACTCTTAAAATTTTAATAGAATGGCTTTTATTTGAGTACAATATCTATATGTAAAGAGAACCGGCTATGAGCAAGCTTTTTCCTCGTAGCCGATATGAAAGAGAACTATAGTTTCCAAAATAGAGAAGAGCTAAGAAAGGACGAGGGTAAAACAATTTTTGTTTTTATAAATGGTATCACGGTACATAATGAAAAAGGAAGAGATAACCCCCGATCAGGAGTTTCAATATGTGTTTCCAAAACCTACGTTTACCCCACATTTTTCCCCGTGGATTGTTTCGATTCATATTTAAAGCTGTTAGAAAAAATTATATTTTTGTTTTTTCTTGCGAAAGCCTTTCTTCATCTGTTTTACATAGTAACTTCTTTGCTGAAAACTTGAAAGGTTTCGGTTGTGTAAACGTCGATGTTTGCAAAATATTCTTGTTCATGAATATCATTTTCTTACTTTTTCCAGAAATTTTTACAGTATCACATACGGATAGCAAAGAACTGTCTCAAGTATACACCTGTAATCACCATAGTAAACAGATATCTTGAACTTAATTCTTGCTCTAGAGTGTTGGTATCTATAATTAATTTTATTTTGATAATCTCAAGCAAAAAAAGAATTTTTTTAAAGCTAAACATGTATTTATGAGATAATTAGTTCTTTAGAATACCTTGATTTTGCTCTGCTAATAAATTTTAAGAATAGCTAATAAAAAGAACAAAAATGATAGGTGTATACAACGACGATGATTTTCACACTATCTAGTTTAAGAGGGGAAACTTTGTCGGATACTTCTGAAGAACATAGAATAATATATAATTTCCTTTGTATCCTCTATTATTGATTCATTTGTAGGTCGATCATAATTATGTCACATTCTTTTAATGTTTTGTCAATTATCGAGACTAAGATTTCATTCATATGAAATAATGTGTAGATGGTGTTCCTATAATATTGATCAAATCGAATCCTAAGCCAAAGAAAAAATACATCTGAATAAAATCTATCATTTGCGATGTTCATCTGTCTCTTTTAAAACTGAGTATATTTTTTGAGAAGTTATAAATCAGTCTACATCGACTAATGACATATTCACTTTAGTAATTATCTCTGAATATAGAAGATAATATTAATTTAAAAAATAGAAGAAAACGATTTATAACTTTATCTATGATTTATCTTTCATCTCTAGATATGATTAAAAAGTTTTAAACAAAACAAGAATCTCAGTTCAAATTGTTACATAATTTCATACTTTTCTTTTTTTCTTTTTATTTCAGCTGAAACAACAAAAATACAATATGAAAAATGCTTTTCTATATGTTATCAAAAGTTTGCGCTTGATTTTAATTATTTATGTTACTGTTCGTGTAATATTGGTTGACTGAACAGTGATCCTTTTCATTAAAGAAGTTTTCAGTGGTTCTGTAATTTCTAAAAGAGCAATCAATACAAATACCAATGATACATCAATAAACATAAAAGCAATACGAAAATGATATTTTGGGGCAATATTGAAAAATGACATAATTATGAATGTTTGATAAGGAAAACCAAGTGCTATTAAAATGAATACAAGTGAAACTATACGTCGAATCATTCGTAAGTCTCGTCGGGCATGAAATAATCGATTAACTGGAGTTATGTGTTTACGCATCTCGTGTACATATTGAACCATTTTTAAATAGATTAATATTATACTTAGCATAGGATATAGATAAATATAAATTGCATTGAATATTGTTAGAAATGAAAGTTGAAGAGGCATTTGACATATTTGATCATCAACAAGATACTTTATTTGACCAGTAAATACTAATGGAATAGGATAGATAATACAACAAATCCATGTTATGCTAATAAGAAAAGTTTGAAATTTGAATGATTGATAGAATAATCGAGATGGATAAACAATCAAAATATATCGATAGATTGCTTGTAATAAATAAGAATAATTTTGTATTCCAACTGACATATAACTTATATAGCCTAATAAAAGACAAAATGATTCATGAAAGTAAATTTTTTTAAAATCACTGTAAAATGTAAATAGACTCATAGCTAACAAATCACTTCCAAATATCAGTTCAGCTATGCAAGAATTTGTTACAAGCATCATGCCAACTGTTTGATATGTTTTATCAAAAATAGTAACAAATAAAAAGACTAGAGCAAGTATAATAGCAATGATACAACATATCATGTTTAAAATATCAATTGGAATAAACCATGATTGAACATGTACCGTAGTTGAATTATTTTCAGATGTCATTGTTTCTATTGAAAAAAGAGAAAGAAAAATATATGAAATCATGTTATGAAAAATATAGATTACAGTAAAAATTGCAAATCAGTCAAATTTTAATCTTTTCCAGATGCAGTTCAAATGCTAATTTTGTTCGAAAAACAAGTAGAAGTCCAGGTTTGTTCAAACGAAATAAGAATTCGACTACAAAAAAATCAAAATATTCAAAAACTAGACGACAGAATTATATGGCATTCGAGTTTCACTCGACTGTGAAAAGTGGAACAAATCTAAAAATGTTAATTATCAACAAAAATCTATATCTCATAAAAAATGATTATTCTTTTTTATGATTAATAACGAAAAGGCTTTTTTGCAAGAGATACTTACGGCTTTCAGGAATGAGCTTCTATCGTGTCACTTTATTTGGCAAAATCAAAAAAGATACGTTTCGTTGAATCAACTGATCGTGATATAAAAGTAATTCAAAAGAAAACATGACACAATTCATTATTCCAAGAACTCTATCCATGCGTATCAAACCGTTCATGTAGTCCTTTGCAGAGTTTCTTTTTTCTTTCATTTTGTCGACAAATGCATTGTCGTTCCGACGTAGAGTGAAAGTATCAAGATCGAGTTGACATTATCTGTTTTTTTTTCAATCTTTTCGCATGAGTTATTTTTGCTTAAAAATACCACCACCAAAACACACATTTTTGTAGACTTTGTTATTGTTCGCTTGCCGGAATAATTAAAAAGACGACAGCATAAAAAGTTAGTCGTTGATCTATTCGATAAATTGATTTTATCCAGTACATCTGTAATAGACAGCTGATTATTAATAACGAATTATATAGGTTACTAGATGATAAATCGACAGAATTCTCGGAGTAATGAATTTTACCATGTCTATTTTTCAATCCCTTAACTGATTGCAACGTTTCTTTTTCGAAACTTTAATCATAGAAACAGAAAAGAAATTCATTTCTATGAGCCATAAATATCTTTTGAAAAAAAGAATTCGCTCTTTGAAAGTTGAGAACATTAATCTTTTCTTATGTGATATCGACTGTTTCGATAATCGACATTCGTAGCTTTACAATACATTTCGTAGTCGAATACAATTCGAATGCTATCTAGTTATCTATATAATTCATTATCAGCTGTGCTTACAAATATAGTGAGGAAAATTAGCTTATTGCATAGACTAGCAACTAACTTTCTATTCTGCCATCCTTAACTTTATTATGGAAGGTGCAAAATAATACAGTCCACAAAAATTTGTTTTTGCCCGAGACGCTAATTCGATCTCGATACTTTTACTTCTTGTTGAAACAATAATTTTCTGAGTTTCTATTCTCGACATCACCATGACGCAAAATGACAATTTGTAATGCGTACATCGAGAAAGTAAAAGAGAAAAAGCTTGTGAAGAACTACAAACAATGCTATTAATTGGAACGGCTTTTTTAGAAGTGTGGAGACTTTCCTTTTTTCTCTTCAGCAGTTATTAAGGAAGCTTATAATTTTGTTTAATATTATTGAGTAAAGAAATGTTAGCTGAATCGAATGATGTAAAAAACCATAGAATTATCTTAAAAATGAAATAAATAATTAGTCGTAATTTGCGAGTAATTGAAATGATCTTTATTATGAGTTCTGTTCTTAATAAGAACAGACTATGTAACATGCATAGAAAATGACGTACTTTTAGTAGATGAAATGTTTCCTATTAGAACATGAAAAATTCCTATGTGCGTCCGTCTTGAGAACTGTTACATTGAGTTTCAACGGCTTGAATAAATCAATCATAATGTTTTATAAATAAAAAGTATAAAAATTTATGCTGCAAGTTCATCTTTTTATTCTACAATTGTACTCATTTTATTATAAAAATAAATCACAATTATTGCGACACAATACAATATTTTTTATGAAATCGTTTACAAGATGCCTTTGAAAAAGAATTTTATTTTCTAATCTCTACAAAATCATTGATTGATCCTTTCTTTAAGTTTTTTCTCGTTGCTACTAAGCCATTAAGTGTCTTTTTCATCTCGTTTTCTCTTTTTTGTAAAATATTCTTGATAAAACTGTTTAATTTCTTGTACATTATTAGAAATCGAATAATTATCTTTTTTCGAAGACTAATTCTGTTTTTTTTTGTCTTTTGCTATTTTTGTTTCCACTCATAACTAATATAAGCACTTAGATGCAGAGTTTTTCACTAGTCTTAAGACACGGTAAAATTAATTTATATGAAGACAGAATATAACATCGAACAGAGTTTTTTTAAATTTAAGTCTTGAGTACTTGTGTCAGTCTTCGAAATGATATTTTATTGAATCAATTCTTCTCTGATAATAATAAAATTTAAATATGAGAATAAATCTTTTGCAAAATATTAATGTTAGTTTTTGTTAAAGAATTTTTAATCAAATATTGAACAATTCTACATAGAAACTAGCTTCACAGAAATCAATACTTATTTTTTCTATTGTTTATTCAGCACTCATCTCGCAAAGCTGAGTAAGTCAAGCTAAAAATGCCTCAAGCCAAAGTCAAATCTGATTGGACTTGGAAACTTTTTTTGGATTTCCTTGCTTGACTTAACATGAGAAAAAAAATTTTCTGATCTTCTGACGCGTTTCGAATTCCCATCATGTTAGCCGTCTAAAGAATACACTTTTTTTCGAATTTTTTAATAAAGAGACGTGATAGGATAGATTTGACTCAGAGCAGAATCAGTCAGGTTAGACTTGACGTCATTTAAGGAAATTTTTTTTCATGTCCTGATTTCACTTGACAGACTTGGAAATTTGCTCTAGCCCACCTTTAAAACAGATCTTAGGCCAGGAAAGTTCAAACAGCATGAAACTTTCAGCCCTCTATCATGATGTTTTTTTGGAAATATTCAATAGACCAGGATCAAAAAAGACCGCATTTGATAACTCAGATTTTTCGGTAAACCTTCATTCTACAAACTTCATTATTATTTTGTTTTTGAAAACTCATGTAAAGATGCCAGATAATGACATGGCAGAACCCTTTTTTCCAAAATTCTTATTTTTCAAAAGAAAAAAGTAACGAAAAGGCTCAAAGTCTGAAAAAACTCACGAAAGATGGCGTTCTAATTATAAAAGTACTCATTTATGCAATAGTTACAAAGCTTAATTCGAGAAAGGAGCCCTGTCATGCCCTTCATCTTTAAAGTCTCTTTCAAACCAAAAAAAAAGCTATTGGCTACAATTTTTTTTGGGGTTTTTCCAAAAACAGCTTATTTTCCGAATAGGGGATGATGGAAATCTTCAAAAATTTTTGTCGTTTATGAGAGATCAGATTATTGTAGTGAATAAAATATATGAAAACATCATGCACAAAATAAAATACAAAAATGCAAATTGTATGTTAAAACTATTAATGAATTATTTAATAATTGAGCTTTACTTCAAGAACATGAAGCTAAATCTATTGATTTATTGTTCACTGAAAGTGTATGGAAAATATTAAATGCAGAAGTACGCGGAGAATAATTTTCAATCTTTTAACAACTAAAGACGAGATTGAACAACGAATGAAAAAAATAACTTGTAATGATTGCCAAAAAAGTAATTGATAGAATCTTCAAGAGACTTGGCGAAGTAATAAAAAGTAATCACTGACAAAAACGTCATAATGAAATGAGATATTTTTCTGTAATCAAATTAATATAAACTCTTCTTGATGAATCGTAGAAAATTTTGCACAAAGATCCTATTTATAAGATATATATATATTTGATTGATTCATTCGAAACATTCAAAGTGAAAACTAATTGGCTAGTGCTATTCATCCTAATCCACCTACTGATTACATATGCAAACTAATTCAAACGCGTTATACTAAAGAAAAAAAACTGAGATAAGCATTGCTAATGATGCATAATTTGATAAAATTAATAGTAATTTTATTGCAAACTTTTCTAATAAAGTTAGGCTTTTTCTCGAAGCGATATGCAACTGCAAGTTTCAGCAATGCAATTCATGTTTTATTTTAAATTTGATGAGTCAGTGGAGGACGAATCTCATGCAGTATACAACAGTGCAAACAGCGCATGTGAATGTGAGGCATCGATGTGTTTCCATCTGTTTTATCCTACAATCTTAACTTTTTTCGATATTTACACCACTCACACACATCCAAATTCATAACTACATAATTTTCCTCGTGTTCCATCAATGTGTTGACAAAATACGTCGAGAATTACTATTTTTACTATTTCCTCAATCAGCACATCCGGAATTTGTTTGAATTGTTTCCATATAAATATGTCGTGATTCTCTTTTACTTTTTTTATACTTGTATCCTGAAGAGCAACGATTTTGAAAGAGTTCCCCACAAATATCGAATTCTTCTTTCAATCAAAGGCTCTAGCCTCTCGCTGTCCGATTTTTTTTGATTCTTTATTCTTTGTTAAAGAAAAACTAGTGATTCCAATGAAGTCGAACACAATAGAATTAAATGACATTTATTATCGACCCTCTTTGTGTCAAATCAACCATTCCATTTGTTATATTGTTCTTTTCGAAGACTCGAACATATTCTCAGATATTTCAGTTGGAAGTTTATATAAGATTTTCAAGTTGAGATTCTATAGTGAGCTGGAAAAACGATGGAGAATGAAAAGATAAATCAATTTTGACTTGATGACTAAAAGAGCATATCCTGAACAATTTTGTTTTGTTTTTTTAGCTTTCCACCAAATTAATCTTATCCATAGGCATATTACAACAAATCCAGCATGCTACATAAAAAAGCAAATTGTAATCAAAAACAAAAGTATTTGAACTTGAATAATCACATGTAAGCAGACACAACGATAAAAAGCCTTTTCTCATTTTTACGCGCTTGGCTTTTTCTCATGTTTGGCATTAATCATTTCCTTTATTTATGTGAGTAGTGGACCCTGAAACTCATCTCGAAGTTTAAAGTCATTATTTATTAAATACGCTTAAAAAAAAGATCAAATAACGTGTGCGTAATACTACAAAATCTATAATGACGATGCAAAATTTACTTTGTATCAGATGAATAAAACATCCCATGGCAATTTGTTGACGAGTGCTTGTACGAACAAGAAAGAAAAAGAAACTTGAGACTGCAGAAAGATGACAATGCAGAATTTTGTATCATCGTGTAAGAAGATTAAAAGGCAGTTTGAATCGTAATTATACGATAAAACACATAATTATAAAAGGCATGAGACTGTAACTGCTACTATAAAAGGTAAAAAATTTTGTCTTTACAACTAGAACATTTGTTATACCATTGACTTCTATTCAACATCATGACTGATGTTACAACTATTCGACCTGGTACTGTATTTGCATGGTTTATGCTCGTATTGGTTGTTCGTCGTCTCGCTCTGATTATCATGTTAATAGTGACGCGACAAACACAACCATTTCAACCAAGTGTACGACTTCCCGAAGATGATACACGCAAGAAAAAACAGATGGTAAGCTCAGCGGAATCGACTCCACAAAATGAAGTCAATAGAGATGCACGTATTAATGGTGTTATTACTAATGATGCAGAAAATGATACATATTTTCTTGTACTTCTGTTAGCAACGGCTTTATTCTCTGATTGGGTGAATGGTAATGTAATACGAACGATTGTCTATGGTGCGATCTATGCATTTGCTCGTATTGTACATTCTGTGACATATTTATTGGCATTGCAGCCTTGGAGAAGCTTGGCATACATGATTGGCTTACTGTGCACATTTGCTATTAATCTAGATCTTGTTATAACAATGTCACGCCGTACAAACTGAACACATCAAATCAATGCGAATGTTTTAGTTTTTCTACATATTGACGATTGTATTTTTTCTTTAGACATTATTTATCAAATTCTGTAAGGCAAAATTGGTTACGTTATTTAATGTAATCTAGAACTTCACGCATTTAACAGACGAAACCATTATTGCCCAAAAGTTTTTGCTTGCGACTATTAACCCTCTCATAGGCAACAGACCTCTTCAGTGATGAAACCATGTAGAAAAAAAAAGATCATTCTGGATGCAGAATAAATTGAAAAAAGTTCTCTGGATTCTTTTCTTTCCTTGACACTATATATGTCAAACTTGAAAGTTGAATTCAACTGAAGTTTCAAGTTTCAAACACACACTCATCTCTTTCTATGAGATTGCAGCAAAAAGTCATTCAAGGATTTTCACGCTGCGGTTGCGATCGAAGTAAATCCAGTCCTGTTTGAGTAAGAACAGAACGTGATTTAAATGTGTCCGATGTTTCTATAGTTTTTCAGGATATAAAGAAGATATTGAGATATTATATACGAATGATTAAAATTTGAAATTTGAAACGTCCAAACACAATCGAATTCAACTTTTAAGTTTGACACTACTGGTAATGTGTTGTGGATTAATCTAAATCAAGCAGAATTTTTTCGTCAACACGTTACATTCTCTCATCCTTCCCATACGCGCAGGACATCTTGGTTAGGATGTAAATGTTGGACTAGATTTGAGCATAGCCGTGGGTGTATCTGAAATGTAGATGCTATTGGAGAGAATATGCACAGCTGCCCATCAGAACTATTTTTCATAATTCATCTTAGAAAAAAAAACAATAACCGAATAGTTACAGATCATGCAAAAGGATAATGACAATGTGATTAATTTAGTGCTCAGTATTGATTAGAGTTTCATTATAGATTTAAATAATCATCGAAACGATAGAAAATAAATAAAATAGAATATATTTTTTGCTTTACTAGTCTGAAATTTTTGTTTCTCCAACGTTGAATTTTTATTTCATTGATTAGAGTCGAAAGTCGATTTCTAAAACATAATGCATATTGAATTGAAATTCATATGAATGGTCAATAACAACTTCCTTCTTTTTTTTGGAAAGCAAGTGACATGAAAAAAGACGGTGTGTGCATATGTGTCTGTCCAAACAAAGTGAACCGACATAAGAAAACTTTTTGTTCCAACAGGAAAATGCTTCATTCTTATCTCATCGATATATTGTGCTAAAGTTTGAACTTTGGCACATTATGTGGAAAAAATTATAACTTCGTTTCCAAAACTTTGCTAATTCAATTAACAATATATTGTTTGATCCTTAGAGAGCATCTGCACTTAAACAATAATCAAGATGATTTCATTTTAATATTTATAGAAACACATATTTTTGGAAGATATGTCGAATAAAACAGTAAAGAACATACTACCATATTATGAGAAAAGCAATAAAATCGTTTGAATGCTATAAGAGATAAATGTTTACTTATTTCTAGACGAATTATTAGAACATTCATTTCTCATTGTAGATGACTTTTTAAGATATTCTACTAGAATTTTTGATCTTTTTTTTGTGGAATGCTTCTGAAGAATACATAATAATACGTTATTTCCTTTGTATCCTCTATTACAGACTAACTTTTACGTGAATGACAACTATGTCACACTATTCACATGTTTTTTCAATCATCTAGACTAATATTTTATTCCTGTTGAATGATAAGTAGATATTTTACTTTTAATATTGATCGCGTCAAATCCAGAGTATAAGAAAAGAAATATCTAAATAAAATTTATCGTCTGAAAGATCCATCAGTCTCTTTAAAATTGAATGATTCTTTAAGAAGTCCTAATTAACTGATTACATGTTCATTTTACTGATCATCTCTAAACATAGAAATACAAAAAGATTTATTTTCATTTATTCTTCGCCTTTAGATATGACTGAACACATCACAAAAACAAAATAGACAAATCATAGTTCAAAATTGAAATACAACATGAAAACAAGTTTTTATAGATGTTGTTAGAAGCTTGTGATTGATTTTAATTCTTCACGTCACTGTTCGTATAACGTTGATTGGTCGACCATTAATTTTTTTCATTAAAGAAGTTTTCAGTGGTTCTGTAATTTCTAAAAGAGCAATCAATACAAATACCAATGATACATCAATAAACATAAAGGCAATACGAAAATGATATTTTGGTGCACTATTGAAAAATGACATAATTATGAATGTTTGATAAGGAAAACCAAGTGCTATTAAAATGAATACAAGTGAAACTATACGTCGAATCATTCGTAAGTCTCGTCGGGCATGAAATAATCGATTAACTGGAGTTACTTTTTTACTCATTTCTTGTACATATTGAACCATTTTTAAATAGATTAATATTATACTTAGCATAGGATATAGATAAATATAAATTGCATTGAATATTGTTAGAAATGAAAGTTGAAGAAGGCATTTGACATATTTGATCATTAACAAGATACTTTATTTGACCAGTAAATACTAATGGAATAGGATAGATAATACAACAAATCCATGTTATGCTAATAAGAAAAGTTTGAAATTTAGCTGATTGATAGAATAATCGAGATGGATAAACAATCAAAATATATCGATAGATTGCTTGTAACAAATAAGAATAATTTTGTATTCCAACTGACAGATAACTTATATAGCCTAATAAAAGATAAAATGATTCATGAAAGTAAATTTTTTTAAAATCACTGTAAAATGCAAATAGACCCATAGCTAACAAATCACTTTCAAATATAAGTTCAGCTAAACATGAATTTGAAACGAGTAACATGGGAACATTATGATATAGTTTATGAAAAATAATAATAAATAAAAAGACTAGAGCAAGTAAAACAGCAATGGCAGTGCATAGGTTGTTTAAAATATCAATTGGAATAAACCATGATTGAACATTTGCTGTAGTTGAGTTATTTTCAAGTGTCATTATTTCTATTAGAGACAAAGAAAGAAATGTATGTGAAATTAATTCATATAATATGCAGTAAGCATCAAAATGCGTCATCAAGTAAAATCAACGTTTCGGGTGAGCTCATATTTCGGAAATCGTATCAGCTAGAGTGGTATCACTTCGTCCATATTATAACTCATATCATCTAGTACATGCGCACCAAGCTTCATCTATGTGATAACTTTGACTGTCCGATATCTTTATAGCACAACGTTGGAAATAGCGAATTTTTCTCTATATGTTGAACTAATTTTCATCGAAGTACTAAGATATATTATTTTTTGTGTTGAATTGGTTTTTTGATTTCTGAGATATCACAAACTCTATTCGAAAGCCGTATTTGATTAACTGTTGTTATGCTAGGAAGTGTACGAGAGTAATTTTGCATGAGGAACATTGTATTCTCTCTTTGACTTAAATGAGTTAATATCTGAAATGTATTCAAAAGTTTCGTGTTTGTAGAGCATCCTATGTTCTAGAAACAGATTATGTTTAAAATCAATAGTAAAACTGTAAGCATGAGCATGACATAGTTATTTAGATGAGAAATTCAGAAATGTAAGTTCGATAGCGCCCGCAGAAATAAATAGTGATGAGGCCAATGATTATATGAATTTTTGCATAAAATTCCATGTTGCTTCGAATACGAAATTATGCGCAGAGATTTCATGTTTGGTTTTTCAAAATTTGAGGATAGTGTGTGCCTGTTGGGGTCATCTACCCTTAGTTTCTTAGTTTATCATCCAAACAACTATGTTATGTTCATGAAAACACATTTGCTCTTGATTTAAAATATAACCGATTTGTAGAAAATAGAATTCATTAGAAATATGTAATTTCTAAATACTTTTCAGACATTATCTTACCTAAGTCAATAAGAGAATACAAGGATCCTTACGCAAAAATTATCACAATTGATGTCTCTATGAAAGATTACTACTTTCACTTCCTATAATAAAAACAGTTAATTAAATATGATTTTTGGATAGAATTCTTTTACTCTATTTCAGATGTAATATCTCAAAAATTAAATCTAGTTCAACACAAAAAATAATATATTTTAGTATACTATCACTATGCTCTAGAAACTACTCCAAATCGACATCTTTTAAAATAGATACTGAAATGAAATTCAATTCAAGATATAGAGAAAAATTTGCTCTTTCCAATAACATGCTATAAAGATATATTACAGTCAAGTTTAATCACTTAGATAATCTTAAAAATATATTGTTTATCAATTTTGAAATAATGGCAAATTGTATCTTGTGATTGTTCGGTCAATAACCGTAAAACAGAGAGATGATTTGACGTGATGTTTTGTGTGTATGTACTAGATGGCATGAGCTGCATTATGGACTTCATTCTACTCGTTGATGAATTTCAATACTCACTGAATGTCACAGTCGAATTGTACATCTATGTGAGTTAAATTCGAACTTAATCAACAATGTATTTATACATGTCCATGTTATTAAAAAACTAGAAAGAAAAAAAATATCAAGACAGGTGATTAGCTGTTTTAGACTAGAAGTGGCATTTTGACTTTAAAGATACTTTGATGAAGCAGTTGAAGTTAAAGTAACCATATTTTCAATAAAAACGAATTATGTTTTTAAGAAAATAGTGATTTTTTCTTTCGTTAAAAAACTTTTTTTTTGTGAAAAAACCACTCTTCTCCCAGAAACAACTTTTTTTATATACAAGTCGAACTCAAAATTTTCAGAAACGGATTTCTCAGCTCTGAGAACCTTCGATCGAACCTTTTCAAAAAAGTCACTTTTTTCTTAAAACAAAGCTCTTCTTTCATGCAAATATCTCTACTTTTACGTTAAAGTAAAGTTATAGTGTCACCCCTATTCTAAATGAGAAAACAGAATAAAAGAAATTAGCAGAATATTCTTAGACTATGTGGTTTTGTCATCCTATAGTCTATGCGTAGAGATTTGTGTTCATTATACTATTATTAAAACAAATGTCAACTTCATACGTGATAGCTAAGCATATGGATAAAATTGAGGACTTTTCTTTTTCTATGATAATTCAGACGTATGCCAAGTTAGTTCTGCGTTCGATCTTTTTTCGTCCGAATTTGTATTACACTTGATGTTGCCTTTTTAGTTAAGTGTTTTACCTGTACAATTTGATTCTCTACTCGGAATCGTAACACATTCACTCTTAGTTTCATAACGTGATTTGAACGTCTGAATTAATAGCAAAAGAATTTCTATTAATTACTCGAGTAAAGATAGATCATCTCAATCATTAATAAGAGTTAGTTTAATGAGTAAATCATTTACTTATTGATGTGAATGTAACTGGCATAAAAGTTTATTCAAAGAAAACATATTCGATAGTCAGTTTTTCAATGAAAGTCATCTCAGCAATAGGAATATATATACATGCATATAAAATTTTCTTTTGCTTAACGTTTAATTTACTAATGATGGACTAAGAAACCTCTAAAACGAAACATTGTAAGGCCTACGGTTTTTTTACTGTGAAATATAAACTTGTTGAAAAAGAAAAAGATGTGTCTAAGTTTGCATTTGACATTCAATTATTTAGATAGAATTTTTTTGGTACAAAAATATCTAATTAACCTATAGTCATGTTTTTAGTGTTTTTGACGCACCTGTAGAAGTGCATCCAGTTCTAGAATTATGTTTCGACTATTTTTAAGGACGACATACGCAATTTTTTTGATTGATCTGATTTGTTTATTTGTCACAAGAAGAAGAAAGTTACCGTCAAGTTACTAAGTAACCAATAACAGAAACATTTCTACTTACCAAATAAACGGTAATGACATATTTTTGAGCTCATCAAGAAAATCTGACATTTGAAAAATAAGAATATTGTTAAAAGGACAACAGCTCAAAGTTTTAGAATATAAATAGTTTGAGATTCGATATTAGTTGTTACATAACAAATTATCTATGTAGATTTCGACAATGAGCAAACTCATGCCACAAATCCAAGTCTTAGCCTAAGAACTGAATTTGAATTGAAATCCAAATAATAAGACCTTAGTCCTAAATGTACTATAGATTTTTCTGGAGAATTTTTATCTTGAGAATCTGATTAGGAAAATGCTCTTTTCTAACAAAAAAAAATCTTATTTTTTTAAAGATTGATCAAAGTTTGACGACATCAAAGAATCTGTGTTTCTACATTTTTTGCTTTAACCAATCGAGTTTCAGAAAAGGTTTTCTCTTGTTCAAGTCATTCAAGAGAGCATCTCTGCAAAATTCCTGATCGGCTCGAATAGCATAATACATGATTCCTATGAACAAATTAGACAGTAGAAAAGATTTTCTTTACTACATTATAGACAATGTACGCCGTTGTCACAACTAATCAGGATGCTCGTGTGTTTCTCAATTAAATGGTTTAGATAATAGTTTGTTCTGTTTTGGGATACAGCAACATTCATGATCTAGAAATATGCAATTCAAACGATTCAAGATGTATTTATATATAATATATGTATAACTCGAACTCTCACACTTTCTAGTTATCATAGAGTTCAACAATAAAGTGTAATTGGAATGGAATGGCTCTCTTGTTCACTGTCATCCAAACCCAGATGCTCATTAGAAATGTGATAACGAGATTTATAAATCATTTTCTTTTGCACTAGTTCCCAATCATAGCTGTTTTGAAAAAGCGTTCGGTCGAACCATAAAGACTCTCTCCGACATAAAAACAGATTTCGACTTCTTGATAACGAATGGAGATAAAACTTGTATGGTTGTCATTCATGATCATCCAAAAATATTTACTATAAAGTTTTCAACTCATCGAAGTTTGAGGTTCACCAATGATGGGAACAGTAACGTCTTTCTACGAACCATTTTCTCCGCTGGTCCATCATAAAAAAAATACTAGATAATTCACTGAGATGAAAACACTTCAATGAAGTAATTTTAGATATGCGTCTCATGATGATTCGTGAAAAAGTACGACAATGAATCTGTATGAAAAAATAAATACATCTGTTTTGGATTCATAATTGAAAAAAAATCAGAGACAACTGTTTGGTTTTTCTTTACTATCTAACAAAATATTTTCTCAATGACGTCAATACAAAGGGAAAAATTGACTTCCTAGCATCATAGAAGAAGTAGTGGCGTCGAAAAATGGCTCACAAGTTTAGTACATCTATGGAAAAATAGATGGGAAGCTTGGAAAAAGTTTACTGTAATCAGCTGAAGAAAATTGGTTACTGCTACAATAAACATATATTTGGAAAGTTGACACTTTAATTGGAAGGCTAGGCTTATGAAAAGAAATTCAAAAACTAATAAAGAAAAATGAAGTACGAAAAGAACTGATATACTTTTATAGAGAAGCATATGTTTAACATGTTTCACGAGATCGAATGGAATTGAGCATAACATCAGTCGAGTCAAAACATGTCGAATCGAATGATTAATTTTTCAAAACTTGACGGCTGCTGATAATAACAGCGATAGTTTTCTCCGAAATCAATTCTTTAATGAATCTGCGTATCTTTGCTTACTCCGAATGATTTCAGTTCTCTTGATCAAAAGACAAGAGATGAGGATGTTTGTGAAGAAGTAGGTGCAGGTATGAATGAATGTCTGTGCGAATCAAAGATTGACTCAAACATTCATTCACACACATTCCATATCTAACACTCGAACCTAAGTGCACATGTCGCATTCAAGCCCACTCACTCTTTTATTCTAGTTTGTTCACATAGTTTCTCATTCTTCAGATTCACATTACACATGCCCTTTTCGAAACAACCAACGCTTATCAAGAATTGAATCAGTTGATAAGAAAAAAAAGAGTCGACGAGGGATCTCTCAGCACATTGTCTTGTTGTTCTTCTATCTCAAAGCAAATTCATGGTCACAAACAATTGTGTACCAAATAAAGGCTGGTGGCATCATTCAGTTGTCTATCAAATTTATCCACGTTCGTTTTTTGATTCAAACGGTGATGGTATCGGTGATCTCAATGGTATCACTATGAAATTAGACTATTTGAAAAAGTTAGGTGTGGATATTCTTTGGCTTAGGTTCGAGTGAATTTTTATTTTTTATATTTTATGGATTGATCTCTTTCACGTTTAGCCCCGTTTACGATTCACCGAATTATGATAATGGCTATGATATCCGTGATTATTTTCAAATAATGACTGAATTTGGAACGATGGAAGATTTTGATCGAATGTTAGCAGAAATGAAACGGCGTCAATTGAAATTAATCATGGATCTTGTTGTCAATCATACCAGTGATGAACATCCATGGTTTATCGAATCGAAAAAAGGTAAAGATAATCCTTATCGAAACTTTTATCATTGGGCACCGGGTAAAGATGGCAAAGCACCAAATCGATGGGGAGCTGCTTTTGGTGGTCCGACTTGGGTAAAAAAGATGTTGTTGTAAAACCGATTCTACTCTTTCATTTAGACTTATGACATCATTACTGGTGAATATTATCTTCATACCTTTACACCGAAACAGCCCGATTTGAATTGGAAAAATCCAGTTGTTCGTCAAGAAGTCTATAAAATTATGCGTTGGTGGTTGAATAAAGGTTGTTTTTATATACGATAGCTTATATTTTTCTTATTCAACTCATTTATTTGAATTCGTCCTTCAGGTGTAGATGGATTTCGTATGGATGTTATTAATTTCATTTCTAAAGTACCAGACTATCCCGAAGGTCATTGCTATGAAGGCAGACAATATTCTGACGGAACACCGTACTACATCAATGAACCACATTTACATGAATATTTGCAAGAAATGTACGAACAAGTCTTACGTCATTACAATATTGTGACGGTTGGCGAATGCCCTGGTGAGAATAAGAAAAACATCAAAGACACAAATGAAATAAAATATTTTATTTCATAGGAGCCCATCTACACGAAGCTGAATTGATAACAAATCCAGCTCGAAAAGAGCTCGATATGATTTTTACATTCGAACATATGGATCTAGATGGAGGTAGACATCAAACTTTTACATCCCTTGTTGATCCTGGAAATCGTGAAGGCAAATGGATACCGAAATTACTTGATTTACGCGAATTAAAACATCATTTCACAACATGGCAAAAAGGTCTTTTTGGTAAAGGTTGGAATAGCCTCTATTGGAATAATCATGATCAACCACGTATTGTTTCACGGTGGGGCAATGATTCCAGCCAGTATCGAGTTCTTTCTGCTAAGATGCTTGGCACTTGTTTACATTTCCTCTGTGGAACACCTTATATTTATCAGGGTGAAGAGATCGGTAAGTCGTGAAACGAAAAATGACTCTTAAAAATAAAAGAATAACTTTTGTGAATCGATATAGCAAGAAAAAAAGCGAGATGATCATTAAAAACAGAGAAACATTCGAAGTTCTTTTATACCTATTAAACGAGAGATGTAAAAACAGAAATAAAAATAGGGTCGCTCGTTGTATTTTTTTAAAACCAGTTGAGATACGACTGAAAGCACAGACAGCAATAAGAGAGCACAAGTGTTGATGATTGCATGAACAGACTTAAGCCTTCTTTGGCGATGTAAGCTAGATTTTGTGACTCTCATTGTGCAGCATTATTCATGAGAGTTATCAAGAGTGATGTTTAATTAGCCCATTGATATTATTTGTTTGTTCCTTTCTCTTTTTGTTGAGGGATGACCAATGTTCGTTTTTCATCATTGGCCGAATATCGTGACATTGAGACGACGAATTTTCATCGTGATGCTATACAATCCGGTCTATCATTGGAAGAAATCGTGACAGTTATTTATTCAAAATCGCGTGATAATGCTCGTACGCCAATGCAATGGTCGGGTTCATTGGTTCATGGTGGTTTTACTAGTGGTGCTGCTGATGTCAAACCTTGGATTAGCGTCAATCCAAACTATACGGATATCAATGTTGAAGATGCCTTAAATGATCCAAATTCTATATTTTATTACTATCAAAGATTGATTCAATTACGAAAAGAAACACCGATGATGGTTTTTGGAAATTACGATGTCCTTCATGAGGAACATATGCATATCTTCATGTACAAACGTTTTAATGAGGGTACGCAAGAAATTATTGTTGCTTGCAATTTTAGTCAACAATCAGTAACAATCGACGATAATTCATTGAATGAACGATTGAAGAAAAATGGTCGATTATTAATAAGTAATTATGATGATAATCAAGCGAATAATAAATCAGATTGGCTCCATTTTCGTGCCTATGAAACTTGGGTTATCGAATTGCCAATAGAGACAAAATAGATGTTCTATTATCATTTATTATAATTTCACTAAGGCATATTTCGCAGAAGTTTGAATGCATTAGTTTTTATTCGACATGCTTAATGTAATTGAAGAAAAAAACGAATAAAAAGCTTTCGCAAAGAAATGCTTACTATGTGCAAAGATCTTGTGAGAGTTCCTAACGTGTATTGTGAGTGTGCGGTTTTGAATATCCGTCTCACCCGCATCTCCATCGAGTCGTCTATATCTTTTGAAGCATGTGATGAGAAAAGAATTGAAAGTGAACAATTCACCGATTTAGTAACTACCAATGTAGTAAAAACTGGAGCAAAGCTGGCAGTTTACCGCGGTTAACTATTAGTTTTCTTCAATTTACCAGCGCCTTACTAGTGAAATGGCGATTTTTGCCGGTAAATCACGGTTTAATACAAACACTGATCTGGTTTTTGTAACATAGGAAACATCAAAAAGGATAAATGGGATGTGTAATAATTATGATGCCTTCATAGAAAAATTATACTTGTGATGTCTTGAAGTATCACCAATGTTATGAACATATTGGCTTGAAATTAGTATTTAAAAATTAAGGAACTCCTCGAAAATGAAACAATATTATTTTCTGTACTTTAAGATACTTCCAACTCCTATTCACTTTTCGCCCCATTTTTTTTCTCATCACATACTATCTGTCTTACTAATATCAGCTTTCAGCGAAAATGGATGGACATGGACGATGGCAAGACTCACGAGCCCACATCCACACCCAAATTTTTCTGAAAGAGGAAGCTCACAACTAGTACATTTATGAACTGATAGTAAGTTTTTAGAGTATTTAACACGACTTGGTTCTATTCGGGTTCGGTTTGAGAAAAGCACAACCCGACTCCATGTCTGGTATGCATGTTTACGAATCGATTTTGAATGTACCAGTGCGCTATTTTGTTGATAGGAATATCCAAGAAATCAAATACTTCAAAAACGTACCATGAATATTTGATGTGTGTCACCGATTTCATGTTAGAGTATCTCATCACATATAAAAATACTTTCCCTAAGATACGCGAAACACTGTATTTAAATGAGAATAAATTGAGTGCTATTGAACAAGTCTTATTCACGTTATGGAATACATTAATAATCTGCGCAGTTATGTGCTTACTGCATGTAATTGGAAACACGTTTACTAAGGTATTCATTAAACGTTCGATAATATTTACTTTTTTTGCCGTTTCTTATGAGCAACATTGCACATCTCTTCTAATCGAATTCAATCACTTCTTCATCTGCCTTCGTTCAGAGTGCTTGCATTCCTTTCTTCACATCTCATGAGTACTTTCAGTAGCTCGCGAAGAAGCATCTTTATGTCTTCAAAATATGCTTAATTAACTAAAGAAAAACATATCGAACCATTGTTTTCGAACAATCCAATCTAATCCAAGTGAAGTAGGTATGAATTTAATTATTTTTTCACTTCGACTTTAAACCAAAGACTTAGCAAAAATTATTTTTTGACTTAGAATTTTTGTCATTAAGTAACTTAAACTGGAGGTGCATGTGCTGTAACGTAACTCTACGAAACCGATCGAAAGTTATTCGATCTTATAGAGCTCACCAATGTGTATTTTCTTTTAAAAAGTTTAAAAAGATCAATTTACAATACTGCCTTCTTCAGGAGATATGTGATACACAATTTTAACTGGACATATCTATAATTCATTAAAAGAACGAACAGTTTTGCTATTGTACTAAATTAGGTGATCTTCACCGTTTTAAATTGCACGTATAGAGTTTGACGAAGTAAAATTTGTTGTAAAATGCACACTACATCGTAGAACGGTGAAATTTGTGTTAAGAGATTTTTTGGTACTGAATTTGACATACTGCTGTTTGTTGTGGATCAGTAGTATAGATCAGGAAGAAATTTTACTAGGCCAATACAAAGTAAATAACTATATATGAGCAAATACGCCATACATTGGAGAACAAGAATATAGAATTCGAATTATTTTCGTCTATAAAATATTGAAAAAGTGAAGATCACCTAATTTAGTAAAAAAGCAAAAATTTTCGTTTTTTTAATGAATTATAGATATGTCCAGTTCAACTTGTGCATCACATGTCTCCCTAAAAAGACCATATTGTAAATTGATCTTTTTAAAAGAAGATACACATCGTTGAACTCTATAAGATAGAATCATTTTCGATCGATTTCGTAGAGTTCATGCATTTTTCTGATAGAAATCCTATAAAATAAACCTTCACTGTGAATGCCTTAAAATGCGACTATCTCGGTTTAATCATACCATTAATGAATCATATTTTACATTTATTAGTTTGGCAGTAAACCCTTTAATTTGACCCGAATATATTTAATGTCCTTAAGTTACAGCACATACATCTTCATTGTTAGAAAAACAATAATTTTTTACTTAGCGTTTTGTAATAAATACGTGTTCTTTTAATCAGAGTCATATTAGATCAGTACACTGTTCTCTTATTCGTTTTATAGAGAACAAAATAGGTTGGATAACGCCTTATTGTTGTTATTTCTGGAGATAATGAATACCAGAAACGACTTGTTTGCTTAGAATTAGAAGAAAAAACTTCTCTCCCTTGATGATAACGCTTCTTTTCTATATACTACATCAGATTATCGTTACACTTCTACCAAAGAAAAAAGAAGGTATATATATATGTATTTAGGATGGGCTTTTTCTTTCTTCTTTTGGACGACAACGTTAGGAAGATACATACAAACAGTCGTTTCTTGGCTTTCTTGTCGCATCAACAACAACAACAACAACAACAGCAGTCGTTTGCATATATAAGGTATATAATATAATAGACATATTGAGGAGACGAAAATGAAAAATTGATTAATATTGCTTTTTTTGAATCGGATGATGTTAGATAAGCTACTAGACATTTTATGAAGCTCATCATTTTACAGCGGGAGTCTGTGAGTACTTTGTATTTATTGTTATCGTTGCATCAACAGCTGATGGCTTTTTTCGTTAGATATATTCGAGAATTTCGTCAGTATTTTGGGCAACAATTGAAATTTTTTATTGAATTACAAATCTCAGTCAAAATAATTTCAGATATCATTTAGAACTAAAGAAAGCATAGAAAAATTCTTGTTTGTGCCATTCTTGAATCGGGATCTGATGGGTTTTATTTCAATAATATCTTTTTTCTTTTGTTATCTAAGGAATTTAGATTAAAAAAACTTTCAACATAGAATCTTGATTTCATCACAACAAATCTTCAATATTTTTGTCATTCAGAAGATTCGATAAAATCTAAGACACTGTTACTGCACAGTGGAAGAAATATACTCTCTTCGCTTAGAAACTATGTGAAAGATAATGCAGATGTATAATACAAGATCTCGAACTAAGATGGTCCATGGTTCAAACTATCTATATATATAATGTTCAGTGTCTGTGCCGAGTCAAAGGTCAAAGGCTAAAGGTCAAATAAGGCTATAAGGAGAAGGCCCAAGGGCTGTTATAATGGAGATCTGTAGGCCCTCAAGGGCTATTATATAGAGTATCCATAGATCCTTAAGAACTATTATATAGAGGTACCTATAAGTCCTCAAGGGCTATTATATGGTATATCTATAGGACATGAAGAGCTATAATATGGGGGTAGCCATAGGTTCTCAAGGGACTAAGGCAATATGTTGTAAGGCAATAAGGGGAAAAGACTACAATAGCTACAAGAGATACAAGGCTATAAGGCCGAAGGTTACATGACCTATAAAAATATGTGCGATATAAGAGTGTGAGGCCGTAGGGCTATCTATCTACATATATAATATTGAGTGTCTGTATGTCTGTTCCTAAATGAAAAGTTAAACGTCTTAGGTCATGCGTTACCGGCGAAAACAGCCGTGTAGTATGCACGGGCTCTTGCTAGTTTTAAATATTTCTTAGTCTCATATAGGTCTACACATAGCCAACAAAAATGGAATCAAACGACGTTCGACAGTTGGGAATTTCCCTTATTACTTTTTAGTATTTCCCCTCAAAGGAACGCTGATTGTTCGGAACTGTAGCTATTTTTTGGTTGCATTAATTAACTATCTGACCGTGTCAGTACTAAAGGGGGCACATGACTAGCATACAAAATTGAATGTCTCTCAACTGTGCACCTCCCTAAGATAACACTACGAGATTCGCAAAGCTTGTCCTATAGTGAAACTTGGGCGTAGGTGTCGATATGGATGCGGATGGGTTGAAGACAAAGTCTACATCCACACCCCATATCCACGCTCATGTCCACACACACTAAAACACATGATCGATTTGCATCTAATATGTTGTATATAGCTTTTTTGTCCGTTCTGTATGCACTTCTTTCAATAGAAGTTTGGATATAAGAAAATAACCGCATTTTTAAAATATCTGTTTTTTGTTACAGTTTTGTCCATATCTGATTGCAACTTGAGCAATTATTCGTAAACGACAAGCAGAGATTGGGGAAAATAGCTATTACTATTTCATCGCGACAGAATGCAATGGAATCACATGAATACCATCTATCTCGTCATTTTCGTACTCTTTCACTTTTTGACATTGATTAAAAGTGAAAATTCTACAGTGGTTTATTCAGAATACCCATGGTTACGCCTCCCGCCCACACCTCAACTTCCTTATCCTGATCATGGTCAATATGCACAAATCAATAATATTAGCATATGGTACACTATTTATGGGCCAAAAAATGGTGTGCCTGTTCTTTTCCTTCATGGTGGTCTTGCTAATAGTGACTATTGGGGACTACAAGTTCAACAACTTCAGAGTACTTACAAATGTATTCTAATGGACTCTCGAGCACAAGGTCGAAGTCCATCATCGTCTGCCAATATTACATACGATCTGATGACTGCAGATGTTGTTAGTTTACTTGATTATCTTGATTTGAGTAAGATTCACCTTGTTGGTTGGAGTGATGGAGCGAATATTGGTCTTAATCTAGCAATGAATCATCCTGATAGACTATATTCATTATTTGCATTCGGTGCGAACTATAATTCATCTGATGGAAATGACACCTCTATGCCACCTGTTTTCGCTGCTTATCTTAAACGCACTCAAGCTGAATACGAAGCATTTAATCCCAACAAGCAATATGAAATTTTGTTCAATGATATACTAACAATGTGGACTAATTATTCAAAATGGACAAAAGTCGATTTTGAAAAAATTCCTACCGATTTACCCATTTGGATTGTAGATGGTGATCATGACGAAGTTATCAATAGAGAACAACCAGACACGATGACTAGTTGGATTCCACAAGCTGGAGAATTGATATTGCCAAGAACGAGTCATTTTGCATTTCTACAAGAGCCTACTAGGTTTACTACAGCTTTAGAACAATTTTTGGCTGAAGTAACTAATACGACAACTTGTTCGAATTATCGTTTGATATGTATTAACAATTGCTCGAAAATATCAGTCGACTCATTCTATACTCTAATACTTATCTTTGCATTTCGATTGATGCTTGGATATGCTAATTAAATATGTCAACATACTATTAATCAACAATTAATGTATGAAAATTGCAATCAGAAACGAAAACATTATTGTTTTTTTTTGTTTTTAATGCTTCCTTTAGTAGCTTCTCCAATAGATCCGTTAAATTAAAGTGGAAAAATGAAGAGCTGATAAGAATGAATTTTCACATTTTTGAGAAGCAAACGAGTTCAATGTTTTTTCTTTCTGGCACAAACTGAGAATCTTATCGATATTTTTCATTGTTTTCAATTGAACGCACGATTATGATTGTAAGTAATCAAGGATTTCTTTTACCAGATTGATTTTTTTTGAATATTTGAAAAATACTCGGAAATATGAAGACAATTCAAACATATTCAAAAGTTCACACCGCTCTCACCCTCAAATACTTTCAAAGAACAATCAATAAGACATCGGATCGACGTCATTCACACCCATGGTTCATTTCTAATGTGAGTGTTCGATGTGACTCTTCCCATTGTCTGTAATCATTCATTAGTACAATTTGATTCAATCATGCCAGGGTGTAGGTGTGGATGAAACAAGAATCACACGTACCCGCACCCACCCAGACACCTACATCCACAGTCCCAGAAATAGCCATTGTTATTTTTCGAGTTTGTGCTGACCATAACAGACACAATACGTAGAAACAAAATGTGTACACTGTTTACACCTTGCTCAGAAGGATACAATGTATGTAGTAAAATTTATTGAAGAAAATATATATAATAAATTAATTTCAGAACCTTGAAAGCTTCATTGAGTATTAAATTAGGGATTATATTTTTATGATAGTAGCACCGTCATATAAATTGAGGTAATTCAAAAGCTATTTTGGATTTCTATCGCAAGCGCTATTTCTTACGCTAATAAAATCGATCTTATTTTATCCGAAAAACTAATTCAATTCACACCGAGGTCGGCGATAAATTTGATTCTAAGTAATAAACTATACGATTTTCAATGAAATCAATCACAAAAGCATTGACAAAGTACATATTAGTTTACAAATTTTATATTTTTAGTTCAGCAACTGCAACGCAGAGGGTGGGTGTGGGTGTGAGTGAAACAAGAACCACATCCACGACCACACCGACACCGTTCGTCAAAATGTGTTGAGGCGCATTGCTTTTCAAAAGGCAATCGAATATAGAGTCACATAGTTAGTTTAGTTAGTGTTGGTAAATAACTATTTATTTAAATCAATGGAAACTCATCCATTTAAAACATCATCTATCGTCAGAAACATTTATGCAGCGTTTCAATTTTTGTTTCTATAGAAATTCGGAATTTATAAAAATACATCGATTCGTATGTAATTTTTCTGAATACAAATATATAATCGTGATTGTTGATATCAGATGAATAGTGCGTGCATCTCTCGATCAAACACACATTTTATTTTATATTTCTTAAAAACTACAGGAACCAGAATTAAAAAGATTCATCTGATAAGAAAGACAAATAAAAGTTCCCAATATTTGATTTTCTTTCAAGAGTACGATGATATATAGTAGTTGGCAGTAGACAAAATTGCTGATCATAAACTTTTATCATTAGTGCTATCGATGAAACTGATTTATATAAATACTTCAACAATTATGCCATATTAGGCGCATTTAAACATGTTGAAAAAATCGTCAAGACATCAAGAAAACTGATGATCGTTCTTTTCTAGCCACTTATTACCATTTTCTGGTGCAGAACAGACGAATATGATCCCGTAAATGACATTTTACCCATTTCGCTTTTTTTAGGTAAGCCAAGTCATACATATACCACTACAGAAGAGACTGTAATATTAATCATGACACGATTCTAGTGCATCAAACGAAATGTTCATAAGTCGGTGATCATCATCTCCGCATACAACTCTACTGTTTTCGGATAGAATAGTGAGTAATTGACAAGTAGTGAACTGCGTCCAACACCGAAACCCGATTCCTACTCCGGAATCCTATTCTGACCAACGGGTGGAAGTAGAAGAAATTGAAACGAGCTTATTCAGGATTAATGTCTGAGTTATATTAGTACAATAGTCAAATAGTTTGACTCTTATTAACAAACAAGTTTACTCATGAATTATTATATAATAAACAAAAATATACTACTTTTAGTGTTAAAAATAAATTTTAAGAAAAAAATAATGATGCAAGAAAGATATTCACATTAACCATTAGTATTAAAAAAAAGACAATAGACTAATCTAGAGAAATTCCTTTATTATGTAAATCTTTAAAACTATCTTGAACATCAAGATGTAATTGTTTAGCAACTGTACCGTTGGACTCTTCAGAAGATACTGCTGTTGCAGATCATCATTTTACAAAAATATAATGAAAAAAATTCCACCATTCGCTTGATTTTGATGTTTTTATTGTTCCTGAAAAAAAACATATAAGAGGCCGTTCATAAAAGATGTTCAAAGATTTACTAGGAATATTTTCTTTTGTATTTTTTACAACTTTTCACGAAATTTTGAAACTTAGTCTGTTTTAACAGCGTTTTTTAATGTATTAGTTGAATGTACACATATTGTGAAAACAACTGAAGATGATACTAGGTCAACAACTCTTTAGATACGAGCTTTTTTTATGTCTTAGATTATTATTAGTGTTGAAATTGTCTCCTTTTTATTATTTTTTTGCTATTTACTGTTCATAAAAAGCAAAGGTACCTCAATACCAAAACAAGTTATAGACAGACTATTTCAAACAGTGTTAATTAATTAATTAATTTCGTTTTTGATACAGTTATTTAATACAAAATTGAAGGTGTTTATTGAAGGTCAGTCTTGGAGTTCGACAAATCCTGATTCATTCTAGTTTAATATAAGATCTGAGATTCAATTAGTATACCCATTTTGGATTTCAAGAAATAGTTTACCATAAAATTCAAACAAACCTGTGGGTTAATGTGAGATTAATTTTGCTGTTGGTAAACAATACTAAGATAATCATTTTTCAATCAAGTTTCCAATCAGTTGACACACTGAGTGTAAGTTCAACTAGTGATGAGCATCTTTCCAGAGAAGTTGTTCCCTATATAAAGTGGTTGCCTAATACTCAGAACGTCCCTTGATGATTGTATCAATTGAAATACTATTACTGTTTTATAGTTCATCAATAATATTCCGAACCTGACAGTTGTCTGAAGACTGACTGATGTTTTGTGATGAACTGCTTCCTCAGTCTAAGATTGAAGCAGTTTAATTTTGAGTTGAGATTCATCTAAGCCGATTCAGGATTGATCTTAGTCTTAGATTGACATACAACATACATTTGAACAAGCGGACTTTTTCTGAAAGAAACATTTTTGTACTGGACGTCCGGAAGGTGGCAAGATCTTCGAAACTGGGCAAACCGGGGCAGGGAAAGAGGCGTCTAAAAATGAGATTTTACCTGAACATTCTTTATGGATGAGCCCTAAAGAAAAACCCATGGACAATATAAATTGTTCGTTTCTTATTGATTCGCTTACTATTTTATCCCTTCAGAATATTAAGAATTGATATGAATCAGATATCACTAAACTAAAATAATTGGAGATTGTCGGAGTCTGAATCACAATAGAAAAACGTAACTTCGCTGATCACTACTGACGTGCCTCTGTGGCGAAGCGGCTTAACGCGTTGGACTTCTAATCCAAAGATCGTGGGTTCGATCCCCACCAGAGGTGGTCTGAATTAATTTTTTTTGAAAAACTATCAAACCTTCGAAAGTGTCCTTAGACAATACCGAACATCAAAAGGTAGAGTATTCTTCTACTTTTTCTTCTAATAACCAAAGATGAGCAAATCAAGTCATATTTGTTTTGACTTGTGATTTGTTCGTAAATAAAAGAAAAGTCAAGTCAAGTCTGAAAATGTATGCATGTAAAGGTGTTGTACTCACTTTTCTTTGTTTTTTTAATAATTAAATAATTAAATAACTAAATAATCTAGAAAATGATAGTAAAACTACAATATGGATCAAGGAAACAATATTTTTGATAATTTGCCTTCAGTTAAAGAAAACATAATGAAAATTGGGTTGAAATCCAACTGGACTTGACTTAGCATGAATTAAAAAAATCGCTGACTTGCTCATCTCTGCTAGTAACTGACGCCGATCGTATACTCAACCGAATCTATATAGGCCAAAATGTTGAAAAAAAACAACTTTAAACGACTTAAAATTGCCTGCATTCTTTACTGTGAACGCTACTGTATGTGACGGGTTTGCAATATGAGGGTATGGGTGTGAGTAAACTTAAGACTAACACTGACACGTACCCACAATACCCACACCCTCAAGCTGCTGTTGATGCTCAGCACATGTCCCAAATCAATCCATAAGTGCGTGACATCTGCTTGACTCATCATAGTTCTCAATCGAACACGCATCAATTTGATATTTGATATTTTAATAAGAATTGATTATTACTGATCAGTGGTTTCCAGCTGGCATTAACATGAACGATTGTTTCATACGGAGACAAAAGAGTTGATAGATTAAATAAATGCGGCTTTAATTCTGTAATCTGAATACAATTCTCATCGATTGCTAATGGATGAATATCGATTTAAAAGTATTTATTATGTTCGATTTTATTTAGTTCTTATTAAAGAGCACGAACACCTTATGTCGATGTATCGATATTTTCCAAAGACAGTTCTACTGATCAATGAGTTTTCAATTTTTTCAGCAATAATATGCTGTACTTTCCGACAATTTCTTTCATAAAAATGATCAATCGTTTTGTAACAATCTGCACGCTATTTTTTCAGTTGACCTTCACAATATTTTCTCGTGCTTGTTCAACATGTAGTTCTATCAATTGATTATCAGGATGTCATACACCATGTCACTTATATTTGTGCATGATAGTGCGTAATTCAAACATTCACGTAAAGAATAATAAAACGAGAAAAGAAAAATGTCTATGCTTCTATACACCTTTGGCTGTGTGTACATAAAAGCAAAGATGTATTGCTTCGTTCTTTAATAGCTAAATGAAAG